CCAAGTAATCGCTCGCCTCGGGACGACGGGTACGTCAAACGGGTCACCCGGTGCGTCATCTTCCGCACTAAACCTGTCGAGAAGGGCTCCCCGAAGCGCTTGAGCCTTTTCGTTAGTATCCTCGATCGTCTGGTTGTCCACAACCAATGGGGGTGCTCTGGTCAGTAGGCTCGCCTTCCGCCAACCCATGATCTGGTACAGGTCCCGGTCTGAAGCGACTCCATCGATCTTTCCGGCCCAGTATGCTCGCTTAGCCTTCCTCACCGTGCTCAGGAACGCCTTTCGTTTCTCCATTAGATAAAGGTGCGCATCTTGCTCCGTCTCCCAGGCTTGTTGGTTGCGGGCAGCACGGTATGCTCTGTGGGCCTCTGCGCATTCCTCCGTCCACCAAGCCGCGCCTTTACCATGTTTTCCTCTCTTCTTGCCGACCGCCTCAATGGCTCGGGAGAAGAGCTCGACGATGTGACTTGCCTGCCCGTCCAGGTCTTCCGGAGTAGGTTGATCCCCCAGATTGGGCATCGCAGCTAGCCCCCCTTCGATCAGGTCTCTCAGCCGAGGCAGCGCCGAGTCGGGCACTGACAGTGGCCGTGGCTGCGGGTGGCCCTCTCCCTGTGACACTGGGCGTTTGAGTAGTGGTATGACGGCCACGATGGCCTCGTGGTCAGCTCCCGGGTGTAGCTGTGGGCTGACCTGCGCGTGCGCAAAAGGGATATTAGAGAAAGCCAGGTCCAGGACATGTCCGCAATCCTGGGTTGCCACCCCAACTTCGCTGATAAGAGAGAGATTGTGGCCGTCTGCCCAGCCTGCGATGTCATCTCCCCGGTTCCCGTTCCTCGTCCCGGGCTCCCAAGAGTAGTGATGCGCGTTGAAGTCACCCGCGATCAAAGCTCGCTCCGGGGGTTTGAGTTCTAGCAGTATCCCTGTTGTGCGGCTGTGGGGGTCGCGGGTTGTCTGTACACGTTGACGATAGTCGTCGTTTTGTCGACCACCAGCCACAGTACGTCTCTCGTGTGGACAGGCCTCTGCTGCTCCACCGTCATCCCTATCCCTTTGCGTGTGTAGGTCAATACTCTTGGTCTGGTTCCTTCGCTGTCCCAGAAGTCGACCGGACGAAAGAGTCGAAACCCGGGTGCGTGTTCAGTTGCACGTTTCCGTCCTTCCAGCCCGTCCAGGGTTCCTGGACGAGGACCACATCTATCTGAGCCTCCCAGCAGAGCTGCAGGAAAGCCGTGTGCGCCGGGGAGATCTTTCCGACGTTGCCCTGCGCAACGCGTAGCATCCGTGGGGTCGCCGCTCTCGGCTTACGTCTCCGAGTCGAGTTCGAGGTGGGTGTAGGCATTCGCGACGTTGTAGTTTGGCTTCTGTGCTGCCCGTTGGCTCCTGCTTGGCATGGGTAGCACGGGACGGTCGATGGAGGTGTTGTCGGGGGAGTCTTCGCCTTCGCCTTCGTCCGCCTCGTCTTCATCCATGCTGCTGCTGTCAGTGCTTCCGTCACCGAGGCAAACGATCGAGCTTGCGGAGGGCGTTCTCGTGCGCGCGCGCTTGGCGCCGGGTTGCTGGTTCTGGCTGGTGGAGGTAGGGACGCCTGCCGCCTCCTGGCTACTGTCGGATCGAGTAGCCTTGTACAGAGTGTCCGATGCTTTCTGGCCGGCCTTCCGGATCCGAGCCCGCTCCTTTCGACCGGGAAGGGAGACGACGCCGTTTACGGCCGAGGGCCTCGCTGGGCAGTCTGTGTGGCTGGCTTGGAAGGGGCCGCAGCAGTTGGCACATTGGGGCCTGGCCATGCAGGGTCCCGTTTCGTGTGAATCGGAAGGTCTTCCGCAGTTGCTGCAGATCGGTCGTCGTCCGCAGAACCGGTTGGAGTGGTAGCCCTGGCAGCCGGGGTCGTGTCGGATGAGCGTCCTTCGTTTCTTGACGGGCAGAGATCTGCCGCTTTGGTTGAAGAGCCTGAAGGGCGTGACCTCTGATGTGAATGATATGAGCCAAGATATTTCGTTCGTGACTGGGTTGGGCCCAAGGCGGGACGGTCGAGCAAGGACAGGCTTCTGTCCTGTCTGTGCGAAGACCTCATCTTCAACGAGTGTGGCTGGGTCCAGGACGTCCCCGCCAATGCTGTGTAGTTTTGTTGGGCATCGCGGCACAACGTAAGTGTACCACTTGATAGGCGTCTCGACCTGGTGGGCGCCGAGGCATTCCGCCAGCTTTGCCTTACTTGCAAGTAGTCTTTCCTGTATTTGCTTGTTTCGCGGCTTCAGAGAGTAACCTGTGCTGATATGGTAGACGTGGGGAAGGTCCGCTAGCCCCAGGCCAACGGCCTTACAGACGATCTGTCGTACGGCGAACGGTGCGATCTTCCGAGCGGCCGCTAAGCTTTCTTCCGGGACGCGGGCAAAGATGCGGAGGTCCTCCTTCGGCTGCGCCTGCGGCTGATCCTCGGCGGGGAGTGTGGCCTTCGGGCGGGCAGAGCTCTGGCAGCTCTGGCCGCTCCGGGTCGCCGCAGTGGTGTTGCCCGCCATCGGTGCGACGACAGCCGCCCAACTCCGGGCCGCTATTGGGCTTGTCTCGTGATTGATCAGTCTCTTGAGGGTTTGAATGACATAGGCAGTGGCTTCTTTCGCGATCTGCTTTCTAGAACCGTCAAAGCTGGCGACAACGCTGTCGACGGACCGTGCAATGGTCAGAAAGACGTCTTTCCGTGCCTCGTACTGTCTAGCTTCTTCTGCAAGGGCTGTCAAGACGGACCCTGTGGCAGATCCGCTCGGAGCAGATGCGGTAGAGGCTGCGGGCCCCTCGGCCGAGGTAGGGGCGTCGGTGGTGGCATCAAGCTGGCTTCCCGTTAGGCTGGGCCGGGTCGGCTGTGCCTCGGCGTCGCGGCGTCGCTTAGCTCTTGAGGTGGGGTTCGGCTCCGGAGGTGTCCCGGAGCCTGGTTCGGGGTCGGCTTGGTCGGCCGACATCAGTCCGGTGCCCGACGGCGGCTGTGAGGCCATCGCGGATGCGGGCTCCGGCAAGGGGAGGTGAAGAGTTTTCGGCTGTTAGTAATTTGGTGGTAGGCTCACTCATTCACTAACAGCAGATGCCAAGAAAAATTAGGCGAGAGGGAAGTTGTAACAAAGAACTGTGCGGTAATGTAGGGACGGAAGAGAAGTCTCTATCCCTGCTCAGAAGCTCATCTTTATGATCATCGCATCTACACTTCTTCTAGGAACAACCGCGGTTGAAAAGTCAGCGCCTTTGGAGATTGAGCCTTCGGACATTGATGGATGGTTGATTGCGCCGAATATCGGTGCTAGTAGAAGACTGGAAATATCTCTAAGCTACCCACGAGATAAGACCGTGTTATACCTAGCCCCGCGCTCACTACTATATCCCGCGTCTATGAAGTTATACGCGAGGCAAAAACTCGCTACTGACCCAATCAGCTGTAGCGTACGAGTAAATAGACCAGAGGCAAAGTCGGTATTCGGGACCGTAATCGATCCGTGGCCCGATCTAAACCCCCCCCTGTTTTCGTGGGGACTGTCGACTAGCTTTTTCATTTCGTAGTAAACGTATACTCACATTTCGTCATTGAGGGCGCGCCGCTGAGTCAGCTCGCGATCTGTGGGCGACACATCGTACGAGTGATCCATGACTCTAGTCGTACTGTTGGTATCCCTATCACAGGGTAGTTGGTTCGAACCGTGGGTGACGAAGAGGTCAAAATCGATATATATTAACTTCTGCGTAAGCTGTAAAAGGGAGGTTCCAACCGTAGGTTGGGCAGACCGTGGATCTCGTAAGTGCGGTCTGTAAGTGGCCCCTGCGCGGGCCCCTTGCCTCGAGGTCGAATTGGACTTCCAATCCGACACGTACACTAGACGAACACCTAATTCCTAAGGGGCCAGAGCGGATATCGGCAGAGGCGACATAGGGAACCCCTTAAAGTCAAGGTAATTCACTCAGTCATTTCGTCAATCTAGGAAAGCCAACCCAATGAGATTGTACGCACTCGGGGGTGGATTGCCTATCTTAGTCAACAGAGAATAGGGCGAAGACCTCTTCCCTCTCCATACCCATCTTTAATACAGCGTAGAAGGGTGAAGGTTGGGTCCTATGTTAGTTCTTTCGTTTGACTAGTGCACAAGCCGATACATGGACAATAAAGATCGGTGCTACAGGAATGCCGATGTCCGTGGGTATTTCTGTCTCTTCGCAGTGTCTCCGATCGGCCTGTGATGTTGATGACATACCGTTTGTAATGCTAACTAAATTTACTCGCGGAAATGAGTCTAGATTGCATTTGTTGCGTCCTTCACGATTCGTCAAGTTCTTGCCGACAAATATGGTTAACTTAGTGAAACTGTGTCATTGAAGATGGAGGGTTGGAAGGGTGACTACTTAAGGACTGCCGCGACTTTTCTGCGTTTACTGCGATCTTTACCGTCCGCAGCTCGTTTGGCGGTCGCCCAAGTTGATCACACCCTCTTCTGCCTGTCTCCCAAAGCTTTTGTACGAGGAATCCTTACCAAAACCTTGGCCACATCTCTTGGCTGGGCTTTGGGTATTGCCGTCAACTAACAACATCGTCAAATGTCGTGACGAGCAAAATCAACAGTCAAGCCATTGCGTAGGCTGAGGAGACGGAATCTCTCCAAAGCATGCATACAGACTGGGGTAACGGCTTCCAATTCCTTGGCATAAGATAGCAAAGACCTGTCTGTACCTGTCGCTCAATCGAGTTTGCAGCGCTGACGGCCCTGCACCCGATGCCGCCTGGTGGCGTCTTAATGTTGGAGGCCCTCGCCTGGTCAGTTGATTGACCGGAGAGTCCTCATTTTAGTAGCGATGTTTGATGCGGGCATATACAGGCTGCACTTGGCCGTCAGTAAGCCGGGTTCGAGAACCGTTGGATTTCTATATATAAAACAAGCTTCCCTGCAAGTGACACATGGCATCGTGACCAACCAATCCCATTACACTGAAAGCCCCTTAGAATCGAACGAACCAAAATCTCGGCCAATATGGGTATCAGAAAGTTTGGCTGCGTGCTGACATTGCTCCTCAGCCTGGGCGACTTGACGATTGGCTTACCTTTTAGCACTATTAGCCCTCTCAGGCTATCTCAAGCCGCAAGAATTGATTGCCACCGGCATCTTAGACTTGAGACACTTCAGACATCTTACTGATTTGTTGACCTTAAGTGTAGACTTCTCGCAGAGAATGAGCTGAATGATCAGTTGTTCCTTGCTGGTGATGCTGAGTACTCGAGAACTCTCAATACCTACTATTCTGGCGAAAGCAGTGATATGAAATCGCAGTGCATTCTGCAGCCTGAGACAACTGAGCAAGTATCAATCGCCATCTCATTTCTCAACTCAGACAAGACCGGAAAGTGCTAGTCCGTGGCGATCAGTGCAGGAGGGCATTCAAACTTCCCCGCTAGCAACACAAACTCTGGTGTAACGATCGATCTCGCCAACCTGAAAACAATTAGCCTCGAAGTGAGTCTATTATGATTAATCGAGTTGTCCTCGTGTCTAGAATCTGCTGTTTATCCTAGCAGTTACTCACCCGATGGCCAGGGTAATGAAACTGTGTCAGTTGGCGGCGGCAATCGATGGGGCGACGTGTATCGCTTTCTTGAGCCCAAGGGTCTCATGACCGCGGGTGGTCGTGAGAACACAGTCGGCGTGAGCGGAGTTCTTCTTGGAGGCGGTAAGTTGATACCAATGATGCCGGGGCTACATCAATACGATCCTGGCCGATTATGTGTAGGCTTTTCGTGGTTCTCTGGTGAAGTTGGGTTCGCTGCAGACAATGTCGCTGAGTATGAGGCAAGAATCATCTCCGACCCCATACGCGTGTTGGACGCTTACTTTGTGCCCCATAGATCGTTCTGGCCAGCAGCAGTGTTATCAGGGCCAGCCGAAACGAGAACTCTGACCTGTTCAAGGCTCTGAAGGGCGGAGCGTGCAACTTTGGCTTGATAAATAAGTTCGCGCTGAAAACCTTTCCAGCCCGAAACTTTTACGGCGGGGTCATATTCTTTCCGTGGGCACTGAAAGAAGCGATTGTCCAGAAGTTCATGGAGATGGTCGAGGGCAACACCAAAGGGCACTCCGAAGATACTGGTTTCACAGCTGCTGCGTAGAGTCCAAGTAGTGGTAAAAGGATTTCCTTCATCGTGGCCAATACATAAGGTCACGCTAATGCGATTGACTGCCTTCGCGGGTCTTGAAGACCTGTCTCCCGTGGTCGACATGCGAGCAACCCTACCCTTGACCGTCATTGCTGCTCAAATCGCATCAACGAGTGGCGAGTATCAGGTGTGGAGCACTCTGACATTTTACAACACTCTTGACATGGGGCACAAGGTTCTTTCATCATTCGACACCGTTATCGATGATATTCTGAGCCAAGTTAAGGATGGTGACGAATTCAGAATCATCTATCTCATGACACCGTTTCCCACCCTGTTCTCGAGCTATGGTGACGACGTTCTTGGTCTTGATCGAGCTCATACCAGGAAATCTGTTGTCTTCAGCATTCAGGGCGTTCTGCCCACGGCCAAGTACCAGGACCTCTTGAGACAGAGGCTGAAAGCAGCGACGGCAGACATCGAGGCTAGAGCTACTGATCAACTTATTCTCTATCTGTACCTAAATTATGCAAGTCCAGACCAGAGACCATTGGCTACCTATGGTGAGGAGAACATCGCTTCCCTGAGTAGCGTTGCGGAGAAGTACGATCCTGGATAATCCTTCCAGTACGGCGTGTCAGGCGGATTTAAGATAAAGGATGTATGAAGGCTTGAGAAATTGAATCTTTGTGTCTTTCCCAAGGAATGATGGTTATGAAATCATGAGTCTAACAAAGGGAGATCGTTTAAGGGCTTTCATAGGCCTAAATTCCATCCAGTTTTGGTCGCCAGATGTGTCCAGTGGCCGTTCTAGTCATGCATGATGCCCTAGACTCTACAGCTGAGCCTTTGCACTCGAGCCCGTTGATTGACCTTGCCGGTCGAAAAAGACCTTCTCGCCAATCCTCAGGCTTTCCTGTAGACCCGTAGCGATCCTAAGTGACGTAAGAGCTGATCGAAGGGGGATTGGCAGTGGCTTATCGTCCAGAATAGCATCAACGAATGCGTTCGCTTCCACGACGAACGCCGAGATGTACCTATCGTACCACGAGTTCGTTGGTTCAACCTTGACATAGCCATCCGTGTCACAAATCTCGACCCGGTTCTTGCGTGGTGTGGCATTGACTGTCAATTTCCCTGTCGTGCCAAAGATCTCAGTGACGTTGTCATAACCGTGCGAAGAGCTTCTGGAGTGGTAAAAATGGGCCATCTTCCCGTCCCAGAATTCGCACACCCCAATCGCATTATCCGCATCCCCAGTCTTGGCAAGGTCCGGAAAGAAGGAAGCGGTTCCAATCGCGGAGACAGATCTGGGAACAGAATCTTCGCCCAAGAACATCAGTGACAAGTCAATGTCGTGTATGGCGCAGTCGAAGTAGATACCGCCGGAATTCTTGAGGTATTGATGAAAGAATGGACTCTGGTCAAGCTTCTCACAGCCATGAGATCTAAAAACGAACGGCTTGCCGATGGCACCCGACTTGATCTTCTCGTGAGCATCCTGGTAGCTGTCGTCAAAACGACGGCTGAAAGCGACCATGGCCTTAGTCTCTGGTTTTTCTTCCACATGCTCGCAGAGAGTCTCAAGCTAGGTGAGGAAACATCAGCACATATGAAGCAGAGAACAACAAAAAGAATGTGAAGTACCTCTGAGATAGACCTGCAGATGGGTTTCTCGCACAGAACATGAATCCCCTTGTCGAACGCAGCTAGTGTCTGTGGCAAATGCAACTCAGTAATAGAGGAAATGATGACAGCCTGCAGCCCTGGTGACTCGATCATCTCTTCGAAAGAAGGATAAACCTTCACGCCATGCGGCTTGAGATGCTGTTCGGCCCAGTCGAGGTCAGCTTGAGCAGGGGAGCAAGCACATAGAAGTTTGGCCCGTGGAACTAGATTCAGAACGTTGAGGGCATGCTTTTGCCCCATGCGACCAATGCCAACGACACCAACGTTGAGCATCTTGTGCGGAGAGGACATGCTGAAAAATCTGTGGGAAGATAACCAGTCACTCTTTTTCACAGAGGTTTCCGAGATTGAATGTGTGAGTATGACGAGTAATACGCTGGTGACAGTGGTGAAAGTGTTGCGTCTATCTCATGTTGACGATTTTGAGCGAGGTTATACTCGAGAATAGTGAGTGCGGAAGATATTTGCCGCTTTGAGCGAATGAGGGCAACAGCGGCGATTTACACTGAATTGGTAATATGACGCTCGACAATGGCTGACGCGACGTCACAAGGTAAATCCCGAATACCGATGTCGTCAGGGCTTCACAGTGAGAGTTTGTGTGTATAAAAGGTGGAAGAAGATCCTCGGGCTTGCAATTCCGTTTGCCACTTTGGATACAGCGGCTCACGATCAAGTCTTCGCCCTGTACACCTCTTCTTACATCTTCTGTCACACACGTCAGCCATTCAAGTCTCTGGTCCTAGCTAAACCCACCTTAAGATGACGGAATTACCAGCGATTCGCTGGGGCATCATTGGTAAAATTCCCCGCATGCCGAATTCGGGGAAAAGCACACCGCTGACCATTTGAGACAGCCACCGGGATGATCTCTTCCTGGTTCGTCGAAGACCTCTTGATCTCACGATCAGACGCAAAAGTGAAGCACATTGTGCAAGCCATTGGAAGTTCGTCCGTCCAGAAAGGGCAAGACTTCTCCAGGCAATATTGCCCAAATAGCAAGCCGGCTATTTATGGATCATACGCGGAAGTTTATGCCGACCCCAATGTGGATATCGTCTACATCGGCACCCCGCACGCGTTCCACAAGCAGAATTGCCTGGATGCTATCGAAGCAGGCAAACCCATCCTTTGCGAAAAGGCCTTCACGATAAACACTCGTGAGACGAAGGAGGTCTTTGCACTTGCAAAGGCAAAGGGAGTCTACGTTGCTGAGGCCATGTGGCTCCGCCACCGACCGTTGGTTCAAGACTTGCAGCGCATGCTTCACAAAGAGAAGGTCATTGGCGACGTCTTCAGGGTCTACTCGGAGTTTGGTCTCGGGCTGGACATCCCCAATCTCCCAGACAGCTCACGCTATAAGCAGCCTCATCTTGGTGCAGGCTCGCTGTTGGACCTGGGCATCTACACTCTGACGTGGGCCATCCTGGGCTTAGACGCAGGAACTCCTAGTTCTTCTGAGAAGCCCAATATCCTAGCTGCACAGTCGCATGATGGTGCGGTCGAGGTCACCACCAGTGTTATACTACACTATCCCTCTACGGGTAGACAGGGAGTCGTTACATCAACGACAATGGCAACTGGAAACCCAGATGTTTTGGCGCGCATTCAAGGGACCAAAGGCACGATTGAGGTGCACGGCACCGTCCCATCTGATCCAGATTCTTTCACTGTGTACTCCACATTTGAGAGGGACCAGATCAAGGGCATCATCGGAAGGGACGCAGTCAAGACATTTGACTACAAGCCAGTTGGACGAGGTTATTACTGGGAAGCTGACAATGCTGCGCTGGACGTGCTGGCCGGGAAACTGGAAAGTGACGTGATGCCTTGGGCAGAGACCATCCGCGTGATAGAGATGATGGACGAGATCCGGCGACAAGGTGGGACTGTGTATCCTCAAGACAAGGAGTGAGGAGTAGCATTCTGGGTTCAGGCCGTACATTACACAGCGAGAAAGAAAGACCTGCCTTTCAACCTGAAAAGCCTCGAGCACTGTACAGCAATCAACATTGAATACCTCGCGCCGACGCATTCTGATTCAGCGTGGAACAAGGTGTGGCTGAAGCTACACGTTGGAACGTACAAAATCAAGAGATAAGAGACACTACCAGCACTCACAGAATGTCATGGCTGCAGCTCTCCTGGCTTCGTAATTTTGTTTGTTTTATTGTCGTTCCGATCTTCGTTTTGATTGTCTTCAAGTCCTCGCTCAAGGTAGAGCGTTTGAACAAGCAGTTGCAACTACAGCAATACTATACGTTTCCTCTCTTCGCCAAGAGCTTCGGCAACTGAGTTATTTCTCGTCTGGGGCACACAACGAAGCCCTCAAAAGTTGAAAACAGCTGAGGTCTGAAAGTCGTTTTGAAGAAATCCCAGAGTTACGATGTTTGGGCTGACCCTGGGTTGTCAATATTCACCGAAGCCTCGATAAGTTGACGGACCCAAGTCTCCAGCGGTGTTCTGGGTACTTCGAGTTGTCTTTGAGTTAGCATATAATGCAAGTATGTAGCCTTATTGCCTGAGATCATCTTGCAGTAGATTTCTACTCAGTAATATTTATTATGAAGATGAGGTTGGCCTAGTCTCTTGTCAGAGACTTGTGGCCGACTGCTGTGAATCACGGCTTACGATCGAACATTTTCTTATCAGAACAATAGTGAAAGTTGTTTCGACTACAAATCAAACTGTAGTTCAATGTTACCCATACGAGAATGATCCACTTGGATGAATTAGTAACTTGCGCGCGGGTGTAGTGTTCGTTATCGGCGCGGGCCGGAATTGCCAATCTGTTCCTTGGATGGCGCAATACATCAAGATGACCTGATAAACTCCAACCATTGGGCGATACGTGCCTCAACTCCAAAGCATAAAATACCGCGCAATCCATATTGATGTCGTAGAGCCTCCGATGGAAAATCGCCAAGTCATTTAGCTACGAAAACTTTCGTCAACACAAGCGATTGACACCTTTTCCAACATACAGTTCAATCAATTGTCTGCTACAATGCCTGTCAAGAATTACAACCGCTCCAGCCCTCTCAAAGTTGCCATCATTGGCGGTGGTCCCGGAGGACTGGGGGCAGCAATTGAGTTTGGAAAGCTGAACTATGTTGAATGGTCACTGTATGAGAAGAAGACACAGATCAGCGAAACTGGCGGCGGAATCAGCCTACAACGACATACCTGGAGGCTCCTGGAGTTGAACGGGGCTGCCAAGAACATTGATCCCGCGGATTTCTTCAGATCTGCCGATGGAACCAGCGGACAGTCAAGGTAGTCGATGTCTTGCGTCACAAACAGTTGAGACCATTGAATTTACTGATAGCGAAGGCCCGCCATAGAAACGGAAGAACTGGAAAGCTTTTGGAGCAACACCATCATCCTAAAGATACACCACCGCAGCAAGTGAGCTGTCGCATGGTCCGAGCTAAGCTGCAAGCTGCTTTGCTCAAAGAGGTTGACCAAAGTCGTATCAACACCTCCAAGAAGCTGATTGACATTACGAAGCTGCCGAACGGCCAAATTGCGATCCGTTTTGACGATGGTTTCAGCGATGAAGTTGATCTACTGGTTGGAGCAGATGGCATTCGATCTGTAAGTCGAACGCAGTAAGACATTGATTGGAGGCAAAAAAAGACTGACATTGTGAAGTTTGTGAGATCTTACGCTTTCCCCGAGCACAAGATTAAATACAACGGCCAGTCTGCCTATCGTACCATTATTCACAAGCCGACGGCAGAAAAGATTGAGGGCATTCCGAAGTCTCCCGTATTCTGGTAGAACACCGGCGGCAAGTACGTTTTTACGTGTCCGCTCGGTGGGGATGACTTCGAAGTCACTGCTCGCATCCGTCGGCCGATCGAAGGACAGGAAAAAGTTAGCTGGGGTCGGCCATTCGACTTTTCAACCATTGCTTCGGAGTATGACGACTTTTGCGAGCCCGTCCGCAAAGTCATTCAACTTGCCGCTCAGGGCGAGACACAAGAATTTGCGCTCTTCTCTGGTCCGCGGTTGGAAAGCGTCGTCTTGCAAGACGCTATTGCCTTGATTGGAGATGCATCCCATCCTCTATCAGGCGCCTTCGGTGCTGGAGCTGGGTTTGCTTTGGAGGATGTCTATGCCTTGACGCAAAGCATTGACTGGCACTGGAATAATGGTGGGGGACTGCCTGCAGCCCTGGAGCTGTATGATCAGATCAGATCACCTCATTATCGGGACTTGTACAAAGTCTTGGACGATTTTGGCGCGATGAACACTACGCTGCTTTCGGAGAATCTTCCTGTTAACGAGGAGATTGAGGAGCGAGTCCGAAGGGCAGCTGAGAGTAAGAGTACGTGGATGTACCACTACGAGATAGACAAAGCTGTCGAAAAGCTGCTTGGAGCCACCAATCAGCATGGCCAAGTCGCAGCTGTGCTTTAGTATAGATGTATCTTATCGAGTGCTACCTAGTAGATGTCGTCAGTACATGTATCCGCGATTTCCTCTAACAGTGATCCCCCTCCCGACTTTTTGATCAAGTGCAGTACTTAGATCTCTTACGGTATTAGCAAGGAAATAGGAGGAACGATATGGGATTCAATGGTACCCCAAGTAGCGATGTATAGACGACGTCGAGCACTCTATGGGATAACTCACTGCTCGAAACCTGTTCACGTAGATGGATTTCTTAATAAGCTGAGCAGGTAGTCCATGCTGAGGAAAGTCAACGGCGGACTAATAATAGGCAGAGTTGACGCTGATGGTAACACCGACACGCGCCGTAGAACTTCCGGATACGCGGCTTGTCACTTGGTGCCTTGGTCACGTCTTGACGCAGAACCACTCGGCACTTGATAGACCGGGAAATCTGTGACCGAATTTCAGTTGCCGAGTCTGATTGTCGGAGCGGGGCCGGCAAGAGCGGCAGGATCGGACCCCACTCCTCAGGGCTTGCGGAGAGATCACCGGCGATCGTCCTTGACAAACTGTTCCTGGAGATGTTTGTGGTCATCGACCAGTTGGAAATCAATATAGCTTGACAATTTGATTGAGCGAAACTTCTAGTGGAGATATCAAATACATCAGACCATGCTATTCGTGTAATCTACACACTGTCAACGGAATCTGCCATGGTAATGCTTCTAACCGAGCAAGACGATTCCATTACAGAGCTTCGGATACATCCTTGCCGTAAAGTAAGGTGTTCAAGCTAGCCAAGCGCTAATCTTATTGCTGTTGCATCACAGCGAAGAAACTGCATAATCCTTGTATCGCTGGGGTCGTGCAAGCTACAAGTGGACTAGAGAGGTCCGGGGGCGATATATCAGTATGCGGGGTAAACGACTGTTGGGTTCCCTTGGCTGCCACGTCGCCCCAACCCCCTAGCACAACTAAGAAATCATAAGATGAGATCAGGAGCCCATTAAATGCCATCGGGGCAGAGAGCCAGTCTGTCGGGATTCGCTTTTCTCAAGATGCTAGCCGTAGTTTCTCCAGTCATTGCCGTTTTGCTGGCGTTGGCTACGCCTTCGGCAGCAACTTTCCAGAGTGACTGCCTGGCTCTTACTCCTCAGACTACAGTGGTTAACTCGACTGCCCAAAAGATCAGTCATGTGGAGTCCGGCACCAATCTCACCTTTCCAGAACAAGATGCATCATGCGGTCGCGGAAGCCAGGTGGTCCGCGCCAATCTTTGCCGTGTCGCCATGAACATTACAACTTCTAGTAGATCTCAGATTGTCACTGAAGTATGGCTGCCAGAGAAATGGAACGGGCGCATGGTGACGGTTGCTGGTGGAGGGCTCGACGGGTGTAAGTACCTAGTTATTTCTGAGCAACAGCGATGAAGCCTGAATTGTAAACTACTGACACTGAGATCTACGATAGGCGTTCACACTGAGGACCTTGCGTACGCCACTGCTCACGGCTTTGCCGCTGTCGGCACGAACAACGGGCATGCTGGAACGACCGGTGTACAGTTTCTCAATAATGACGATGTTGTAATCGACTTTTCGTACAGAGCGTAAGTTATCCCAGCTTCGATTTCCTACTCTACAAGCTGACTAACATGGCTAATAGAATTCACACTGGCGTTCTTGCTGGAAAGAGTCTTCTCAAGTCTCTCTACAAGGAAAAGATGACGGGCTCTTACTTTTTGGGTTGTTCTCTTGGAGGGCGACAAGGGGTGACAGCTGCAGACATGTTTCCAGAAGACTTTGATGGCATCGTTGCAGGTGCACCGGCAGTGGATTTCGACAATCTGTACTCCTGGCGAGCCGGGTTCTACCCTCTGACCGGGTCTGTCGACTCCAAGGACTTCATTACTCCCACCGCCTGGAAGACAACCATTCATGATGAAGTCCTCAAGCAATGCGATACTATTGATGGTGTCCAAGACGGTATCATAGAGGATCCCAGCCTTTGTAAGTTCGAACCTGGGACCCTCCTCTGCAAACCAAACAGCGGCGACACCCAGTGCCTCACCAGCGCACAAGTCGATATCGTGAGAAGGATCTTTAGCCCGACCAACTACACTGACGGCAAGTTATTTTGGCCAGCCATGAACCCAGGCAGTGAGATCATTACCGCAGACGGGCTGTACAGTGGCAAACCATTCGCTCTGTCCCAGAACTGGTTCCGCTATGCTATTTACAACGATCCGAGCTGGGACCCGGCTACCTACACACTCGAAAAGGACGGCAAATTTGCTGAAAAGCGGAACCCCGGCAACATCAAGACGTATCCACGCGATTTATCTGCATTCAAGAGGAAGGGAGGAAAGCTGTTGATGTATCATGGCCAGCAGGATCAGCAGATCACAAGTTTCCACACCCCCATCTTCTATGATCGCTTAGCAAAAGGCATGCATCTGAACAACACTGGAATGGATGACTTCACACGCTTTTTCCGAATTTCAGGCCTCTACCATTGCACCACAGGACCTGGTGCGTGGCTGATTGGACAAGGAAGCAGTGGGGGGAACTCAGCCGTCATCAGCGATAGTCTCCCGTTCAACAGAACTTACAACGTTCTGGCCGCCATAGTAGACTGGGCAGAGGGCGGAATCGCTCCGGACACCATAACAGGAACGAAGTTTGTCAACGACAGTGTGGATGCGGGTGTGGAAATTCAACGCCGACATTGCAGATACCCCTTGCGGAACACATACAGGGGCGAAGGCATGGACCCGAAATTCCCGGATAGTTGGCAATGTGTGTAACTGCACATTCAACCGGATTAAGAAGGCGAGATGGTTAGAGAGGCTCATGATAATTGCCTCGGGTCTTGTAAGCTAGATCCTGGATCTATGTCAAAAATAAAATGTCCCATGTCAGTCTTCAATTTGAAGTAACAAGTATAAAGAGCCAGGCAAGTCCTGTTTGAAGAAAACATATTTGGCGCAATAGAGCAAAGATCCAAAGTCACAGAGAATGGTACAATGACCATGAGTTCCAACATTTTCTTCCAACAAGTGTACTGTCCGAGTCATCTTGGATCTGCTAGACTTGCACATGTCACGTCAGCCGATCCGGTCGCTTCCCGCTTAACCGGGCCGGGAATCGATCCCTTGTCATGATCAAAGAAACACCCAATCCAGTCAGCTAAATCCGGCCAAAAACAATGGGCTTATGGAGACTTCATTAGTCAATAATTCGCCAACTAAGTCGGATTTGGGTGAAATTTGTACATAACGCACGGACTCCCGCAACAAATTTTCATTATCTCACCTTGCTTATCGACATCGAGTCATCCACTGCCGAAACATTTACATGACTGTTTGGTGCATCCTCTCTTTTCTTGTCCGACATCGAGTTGTAATTCTGCAGTCTTCAGCAAAGACATCAACATGGCAGACAACTTGGAGAGCCAGCGTGACCAGCGCAGCGATGAGAAGCACGCAATAGAGAACACCGATGCCTGTGCACAGCGAACCCCGGCTACAGGCCGGAGCAGCAAAGGCCTCGTGCGGAGAGTCTTGATGGCTGGGCGGGTCGAAGAGGGCGGAATCGAGCCCATCCCACGAGAAGTCCGGACGAACACCAAGTACTTCAATGCTTTCACGATTTGGTGCTCTATCAACACAAACATTTTGGCGTAAGTTGTTCTAAATCTCGAACATTCATGTAGTCTTCACTTTGGCTGATATTTTCCTCTCAGGATCACTTTCGGCATGCTGGGCCCGGTCTCTTTCGGCCTTGGCCTCCGAGATTCGGCGCTCGTCATCCTCTTCTTCAACCTGTTGTCAACACTGGCCCCAGCATTCTTGTCAACGTTGGGCCCGAAGACTGGCATGCGACAAATGATTCAAGCTCGATTTAGTTTCGGGTAAGTTGCCATTCTCACTATGCAGATGAGGGCAGGCGAAAACCAATGATTCGCCCGCGGCCAACTTATGATCACATGTATCTCAACTGACACCTCAACAGGTACTATTTCGTATACATCCCCGTCGTCCTCAATCTCGCCACCCTCACCGGCTTCTGTGTCATCATTTGCGTCATTGGTGGTCAGTGCCTTTCAGCGGTGTCCGAAGGTGACCTGTCTACTGCCGTTGGCATCGTCTTGATCGGCATCGCGGCTCTATTGATCTCCTTCTGTGGCTTCAACGTGCTGCACTTCTACGAGGGCTACGCTTGGATGCCGGCTCTCGTTGCCATCATCATTGCGGTTGGATGTGGCGGACAGCAGCTGCAAAAGCAAGCGCCTTTTGAGCCGGCAACGGCGGCTGGAGTCCTGAGCTTTGGTGGTGTCATTGCTTCCTACATGATCCCATGGGCTTGCATCGCCTCCGATCTGACCACATACTTCGACCCTACTAGCCGGGCGGTCTCGTAGGTAAATTCGCTTCCAGGTATGATCTTAAGACTGACTTTTCACTAGACACCGCATCTTTGCTTATAGCTACTTGGGATTGGTTGTGCCTACTATCTTGCTCATGACCCTTGGTGCCGCCATCGGTGGCGCTATGAGCAACATCCCCGAATGGCAAATCGGCTTCGATAGCACTTTGGTCGGCGGTGTCCTTGGGGCTATGCTTTCTCCCGCTGGCGGATTCGGCAAATTCATCCTCGTCGTCCTAGCCTTCACGCTGTTGGCAAACATCTCCGGCACGATGTACGCGATCACGCTGAACTTCCAGACCCTCATCCCTTCCTTCCGCCTACCGCGCTACGTCTTTTCTGTTATCGTCACCGCCATTATCATTCCGATCGCGGTCAAGGCAGCGCACGACTTCTTCCTCAGCCTCGAGAACTTCATTGCGCTCATCGGCTACTGGTCTGCTTCGTTTGTTGGAATCGTGGTAACCGAGCACTTTGTGTTCAGACGCGGCGACTCCAAGCTCTACGAGGTTGCTGTGTGGGATGTGCCTTCCAGGCTGCCCTTGGGTATCGCTGCTATCGGCGCAGCTGTGTTGAGCTTTGGCCTCGTCGTGCCGTGTATTGCGCAGGTCTGGTTTACGGGGCCCATCGCGGTTTCTACAGGTGACATTGGCTTCGAGGTTGCGTTCTTCTTGAGCGCTGTCTTGTATGTGCCTCTGCGTTATGTCGAGAAGCACTACTCAGGACGATAGTGGTATGTGATGTGCATAACATATATTTTGATGTCCTTGAACCATAGTATTAGCTCTCAGAGGAGCTGAGGGTGCGAACATATCGATGAAAGGCTTCAATGATTTAATTACAAGTATATACTCTTCTCGTTATTCAACCTGTCCTGTAGCCATCTTAAATAAGGATTCCTGCTTCCAACACAAGATACGGCGTTTGATCTTCCCCAATGCGACGAGGACATTGGCGTCTCTCTGGTCAACACCGCGTTCCTGCAGTAGCATCGCTTGTCAATGCCTACCTCATATGCTCTAGGGCCGTGGTTCACTGGGTTCTCAGGGTAGTCATACACCACCAATCATTCGGGCGGCTGGAGGCTACACACAATGTCTTCTACTCCGCGTACAAGGCCTATGGGAATTTCATTTCCGATGGTACCACGACATGTTGCATGCAGAACTCTTCGGACCAGGGTCAGGCTCAGTACTTGACAACCAACAAGAGACAAGGGATAGTCAAGGACCCCTCACTCAAACGACTCCACCAAGGACTGGAGCTTACGGATCGTCTCACTGCAGGGTCTCCTCGCAGCTCTTCCCTGAGGATGTTGTTCAATGAGAATTATCCACCTGGCGGCACAGGCGCCGACTTGGGAAATAGCTTTGATTATCTCCTTGGTGATTCCAGATGCCGGCAGCTCGCAATAGGCCAGTGTAGGTACATAATGAAAAGGAAACGTTGGTATACATCTCTTCGAACCGCAAAACTCCAAGGTCTCTTCTCACTTCACTCGCTTATCCTTCTTAAAAGTCGTCTTTCATTCAGTTCACCTGCTCTGACAATGGCTGGCATCGCACCTGGAAAGACCTTCACTCCTGGGCTCGACTTTAGTAGTCAGTCTTATAGCAAGCTCGGCGAGAAGGTTGAGGCCGCCGTCGCGCGCGCCCATGAGATCATCAAGGAGAAGCTTCCGCTCCTCGCCCAGCTCAACGCCCTGATCTCCTTGACCTTTGGCGATCGTGCCCCTGTTTTCGTGGATGCTCGTTCATCCAAGGCCACGTTCCTAGACTCTTGCTCCGATAAGCCCGATACCAAACTCACTATTAAACCCGAATATATCTCTCAATTCTATGAGGGTAAGCTTGAGCCTCGGTATGGCCTTTTCAAGGACGCCTTCTTCCACGAGGCCTCAATGCCAAAGGGCAACGTTCCCGTCGCCATCAAGTTTGCCGACCTACTCACTCCTGACCCTCCCGTTCCCCCCAAGAAGGTTGTTCCAGGCGCTTTTGCTCGTCTTCCCGAGCCTTCGGAGGATATCGATCAAGTGAAGCGGGATATCAAGGAGTTTGGCTACGGTCTCGTCAAGAACGCTCTCACACCCGAGCAAGTCTCGATCCTGAAGAAGGGAACTCAAGAACAAGCTGCTGGTGAGCGCAAGGCTGGCGTTTCTGCTACGGACGGTGGCCCCAACGCCCCCAACCAGCGCATCTGGACTCTCATCAACAAGGGAGGGGAGTTCCTCGATCTTCTCAACCACCCTCTCATCGACGAGATTGTTCCCTGGTTCCTCGGCGAGCATGCTCTCATTCACAGTTATAGCGCCAACATTGCCCGCCCTGGCAACGTCCCCATGCAACTCCACACAGACCAAGTCGCCATCCAGCCGCCTGTTCGTGAACTCGCTTTCGGCCTCAACATCATGTGGTACCTCGAAGATATCACAGAGAAGAACGGTGGCACCCGTGTGTTCCCTGCGTCTCACCTCGGTCAGATTGCCCCCGACGATCTGTTCACCGTGGACGGCACCGTCGCCGCCGAGGGGCCTTCTGGCACTGCTTTGGTGTTTGATAGTCGCTTGTGGCATGCTACGGGTCCCAACCGTGAGGAGTCTGGCGAGCGCCCTGTCATCTTGATCTTTTTCATGCGATCTTTCATTCGCCAACAGGAGAACAACTTCTTGTCATTGCGCAAGGATGTTGAGGCTAAGTTGTCCGACCGCCACAAGCGCCTTCTGGGTTTTTACACTACGGGTGCTCTGGGTGGTATCGAAGGAGATGTTCGGGAGGGATTCTTTGTGACAAGGAAGGATGACTGTGTTGGCACTTTGCGTGCCGCTCATGAGTGATCAATTGAGTCCATTGATGAGGAGTTCACTGCCTGTATCTCAAGTTCTCTGTAGACCACTTAACAAGATCGTACAACTGGGTCAACCACATGTAACGATCATCTGCCCATCTCCGTGAAGACATCATTGCGTTCATCCTCATATACACACAATTGTATCCGCCATCTAGCCTAACCATCTGAAGAACATCTTTCGACATTCGGCATTTTGTCCGTCCTCAAGTCGTGCCTTGGTTATCCAGTCGTCGAGTTCGTTGTCGGAGTCTTGAAAAGCAAACATGATCCCCACCGTCGCCCCGCGTCTTCATCGGGGAGAAGCCGCCGCTGTGTGATCCTTGAGCATTATGGAACATTTCTCCTCATCATCCCGTAAGCCCCCGGCCCGGGACGGCACGATCTCCGCTTTCTCTGTTGGCTCACTGTTGCAATCCTCTTTCCAGCCAAGAGGACTCAATAGAAAGTCATTTATCCAACACGTAGCTGCACTCCGAATAGCCGAGCTTCAAGACCTTCGCATCTGTTAAGTGACCTAGTACCCTGGTCCTGGCAGAGAAGTTATGGGAACATTAGAGCTGGCAGGGTTGTTATTTGCCTATGTATCACTATTGGTACTAGGAATCTCAACTCCGGTTGGACTACTGCATCGGCACAGCTTCTTCAAAGGGAGATGCCGGGTAGACCTCAGATGCATAATTCCCGTGTTGGGAATCTCGCTGGCATTTACATACGAGCTGTCCATGCGGCAGTGGAGGCAGCGTCCAACGAATAAGAATCGGAGAGTTCTCGCCCTCAAATTGTTGGTAATCACAAGACCTACCTTGATATCAGACGAACTATTCTACATCAGCTTCGAGACGAGCAATTTCTTCCGCATAAGCTGAACCAATTGATAGAGAAGGGCATGTAGTTGAGACTGATCCAATGGTCTGGGCCTGATACAGGATGGCAATTTGACACTTTCTGTAGTAATATCGCCTCATCGCCTCATCGCCTTAGCGAAGAGTGAAGCATGGTGTTTGCTTCAGGTAGCCGACCACATTGGCCCATTGTATGCTTGCGTTGCTCGACCGTATTGAAGGGGTCAACTGGAATATTCAGAAGCTCGGCTGTGCAGCAGGATGTCTAAGGTGCGTTGTTCTAACAGCCACGGAAGCACATCTCCACCAAACATGTCCGCAGTTTATCAGACATTGCCTTCCAACATTCGGGCCCAGAATCGGGGCTTAGTACCACCGTCGGCTTCACCGCCGTGATTGCAGTATGTCGCTCAGTCGAGTATACTTGGGATAAGTCCGTGGATGGACAGTGCGCACCTTAAAACATCATTACCACAATCAGCTACATAATCTCGGTTCTAGCTATTGTTACCGACTGGACTTGTGCAATAGTCTCAACCGATGTCGTATGGGACCTGCAGATGAAGTCTAATTGAAGATTCCTGCTTGCGCTGTGCTTGCACTAGGCGTAATGTGAGTTTCTCAAGTGGTATGGATCATCTATTTGAAGCTGGTGCGATTTCTAATTCGAATTTCTCACAGTGCAAGCGCCGCTACGATTGTCCGACGGTCATACCTGCAATACTACAACCAAGTTGAGAACTACCTGCGTATGTTTCCCGCTATTCTTCGATTCTTTTCTCCCCAGTTTCTGTAACTGATATGACGTGGTGTAGACAACATCGCAAACATTGTTCTGTGGCTGATTCTCGAATGCGGCATCGGCATCATCGCTGGCTCTCTTCCATCTTTTAGAAGACTGCTCAATTCCTGGCTAGATAAGTCCAGTAAAGTCTCATACAACAACACGGGGTCAAATGATCTAAACGCAATATCCGGAGGGCAGGCTGGAGGCACTGGGGTGAGAATACATAACCTCAGCGGGCGAGGTATGACAGTTTCGAACTGCCAAAGTGGCCCTCACGACAACTGGGTCCAGCTGGACGATGATTCTGAAAGCCAAAAGCACATCATTATGAAGACTCAAGAAATGACCCTACAATATGAAAGAGAGGGTCAATATCGTGGAAGATAGTTTCGAAGAGACATATTATAAATCCACGTTTCGAACACAGCGGAGGAAGTAGGGATATCTTCCTGGCCAGTCTCATCTAGCTTTAAGCCATCGTAAATGACGCATTTGACCCATTGTGGATTTCTTTCATATCGAGCCATTATTTCTTTGATGGTTGAACGACTATGAATAAGGCAAAATGACATTATGATGCTGGGATTTCTGAAAGAAACTTTCCATAATGGTGGGCAGGCAGGCCGAAGTGGGGCCGTCATCCCGTCAGGCACCGCCGGATATAGTAGTTATATGCCCTTCCGATTCGGCCGGCTGAGTGCTTCTGAATCGTTGACAGAACCGCATTCTTAAGACAAACTATCATAGAGACCAGGCTGGAACTGATATGGGGCCCGAAGAAATGCTTCAAGATTGGCACTCATGAACTGCCCTTGTGATCGTCGGCGTCGCCAGCGGAGTGGACATTGGAGTCGAAGTGCCCGCCGGCGCCTTGGCCCTTGGCAGAAAGCCGGCGGGCTGTGTCTGCATGTATGGCTGCCAGACATATCTGGATTTCTATGATTGCCCACATAGGCCGGTTTTCTCTCAGTTTTCCACTCGAACGCAAGGGCAGAAATGAGTTCTGGGCACAGCATTATCCAAGTCAGCGATTGTCGGGTGATTTGACTCTAGCGCTGGCGGTTTTCATTCCTCCGATACATCCAACTTACCTAATGCATCTATGTGACAACTTTCCGAACGACCTGGACAAGCCACGGCTGAGTAAGCTCGTGTACGTTTATCTCTGTCCGGCAATGCCACCCCCGCGAACAAAGTCTCACCGGATGCGGATAAGCCCGCTGCCATTCGTTGTGCGACGTCAATGGCTTCGATTCCCTCATCTTCGCGATCCTCCCAACTCTGACTGGAACTTCCAAAACGGAATCCCCGTCTTTCATAGAGACAATCGAGCGCCGAAATACAAGTATGGCCATGGAGATCCTCCCCCAAGAAGTCGTTGACCAGATCGCATCGAACTTACATCGACCCGATCTCAAGAATCTACTACTACTGTCGCCCAAACTCCGCACCGCGGCTGAGAAATACTCTGACGGCTTCACATACTGCACACTGCGAGTACGCGATCTCTGCGAATTTGAAGATAAGTTTCGCGGTCCGCGCTTCTGCTGGCTACGGAAGTTGGAGTTTAAGCTGGTCTTGCTGCCCCAACGGCTGCCGAATAGGACACGCTCAACGACGGATAATATAGCGGAAGCAAAACGAAACGCGGAGTACCTTTCCAGTCAGATCCATCAGCTCTTCGATTGCCTGAAGACTCTCGAAGAGGATGATGGTCCGCAAGGCACGATAGACCTTACCATCATCAGCCCTGAGACGCGTGAGACGGAGATTAGGATACCTGAAGCATGGTTCATACGGATCCTTGACCCAGACCAGCTACCAACGCTCGATTGTATCGGCTCTCTACACCTTGGACCCTCTCCAGCCCCCCACCAGTCGAATTACTTTAGCAGGTTTGATCTCAGAGCTACACTAGATCTCACACGCAAGCTCCCGGGTATTGAGAGCATATGTGCCGAACTCTTTGACGAGCACAATTGCGATGCAGAAATCGACAGGCTCCGTGTCCATGGACGAGAAGACTTTTCTAGGGCCGCCAAGGACATATCGCTGAGAGCAAGGAAAGCAGAGTTGCAATTCCAAGGCCGCAAGTCACATCAACTTCTCGATCATGACGCTGCGATGCCGAAGCTCGTCCGCTCAGAGCCCTCGGACCCCTTTAGCTCTAGTCTTAGACTTCTCTGCCAAAACCTGACTCAACTTCGACTGAGTGCCATTATTGACCACTCTTTCTTCTGGCCCGAAGATGATAACGGTTCGGCCTGGCCCAATTTGAAGTCTTTGGAGGTCAAATTCCACCCAGTCACCCCAACCGGATCCTGGTATTTCATGGGACCCCGTGGAGAAGGCAAGGACGTACAGGGGTATCCTGTCGAAGGAGTGGAATATGTCAGCCAAAGCCAGAATGCTCACAGCGATACCATCATATTCGGTCATGCTCCTTGCCGGCCATCGGGATGGCGTCTCAAGCCAAATCCGAACACACTTTACCCTCTACTCACGGCGTTCGCAAAATCAGCTGCTAGTATGCCTCGCTTGAGAGAGGCTATGATTTGGTCACCAATTTGGTGGTATCTGGGGGATCACGTCTCAGACAAGTTCTCATACAATAAAGGCTTCGACATGATGAACAGCCAAAGGTCACTAGGTTGGGGAATTGGATACACCGCGCCGGACGCCGATGAGGTCTCGGGGTCTGTGCGGTCCGATGATGAGGATGTCCGGCTTTTTGAGTGGAGAACCGGCAGTTGGGAGGCAGATGAGACGCTTAAACAGCTGTTCCACAAGATTGGTCGGGAGAAGTATGGGGATGAGTTTGAAGACGATTGGGATCCTGACGCAAATCAGGAAGATTTGTTCTTTGAGGGATTCTGCCAAGGCGAAAGGAGTGTGTGATCGAATGTTAGACGTGCAAAATATTTTTGAAAGGGAAATCGCAATAATTATTAGTCAATCAAGCTCTATTGGATCTTTGACAGCAAAACTCAGGGGCCATCTATCTGTGAGCCACTGCGAATTCCAAGATGATTAAAACCCTGTGTCAGAAGAACCTATCATTCTCGATGACGATGGGCAATCTTATCTCTAATTCCACGCTGATTGGAGAGTGATAACAATTCGACTTCCAAGAAGTACTAATACCTTGGCTGGCCCCATTCAAACCACTGAAAACACCCAACATCATCCTCTCGGCATCTCGGCGCTCCTGGGCAGCTGGGTTCCCACTCCAAAAGCGAGCAACAAGCCTTCCGCGGCCCATATTGCCTTCGAGCCCCAGGACCGAGCGGGTGATAACAGCGGGACTCAATGGGGGCCACGGGAGCGATTAAGCCCGCCGGCAGAGACAACGTTCGCCCAAGGCGAGGATTCCGCTCGTTCACGCCAAGATGCGGCGGCGAGGTGCGCTATGCAGACGTGTGCGACAATAGAGATAGCTTGCGATCCCATCTTCCTGCGTAACATCATTTCAATGACCTTATCTCTCAGAAGAACTTTCCGCTCCGGCGTATTGGAACAGAACTCCTTGGCCAAGAGCCTTTATCAACCTTTCTGTGGTCTACAATGAATTGCTTAGCTCGGCATCTGTTTGCCAGGTCGCAGTAGGAATGATTAGCGTCTTAAGTACTTCAGGAGCATGGGACTGCTGATATGACGGGCAAGAGCCCGGCGGTCATTGAGAGACGACAGACAAAGGAGACGAAACGCTATCGTTCTGGCATATATCCATCAGCTGCCCCAATGATCTGGGTGAATGCCTTAAGTTGGAAGTCTCCTAAGCAAATTTCCGCATCTTTTACGAATCCTCATTGTCATAGAACTTAATTATGGGCTCGACACCAGTTTTACACCAAGGATGGGGGTTGGTATCTTTCCAATCTGCACATCAAAGTCAGGACGCTGACAGCACATAGCTATGGCCTCATGATTGGACTGGGTGTTCTTTTTGCGTATGCTCCATCTTTCCAGTCCAGGTCTCCAGCTCCACTTACTGATCCAGCCTGTAGTGTGTTTATGATAATCATCACCTGGGCACTCAAGAGATACAACTATGAGCTTCAGACGTCTGAGATGTTCACGACAGCTGGGCGGTCACTAAAGTCAGGATTGGTGAGATCGACAGAATTTTATCCCGGCGGTTACCAACGCTGACTCTTATAAGGTCGCCTCATCGGTATTGTCAACATGGACATGGGCCGCGACTTTGCTGCAGAGCACAGCGGTAGCATACAAATAGTAAGAGCTTTAATGACTCCATGTCTGCTAGTGAAGCTAACAAAATCAAGCGGTGTTTCAGGGCCCGTATGGTATGCTTCCGGAGCCACGGTCCAGATCATCCTCTTTGCCACGCTCGCTATTGAGCTGAAGAGACGCGCCCCCAACGCGCACACATGTAAGAGCTCCACAGATGATGACCTCGCAAGACTTGACTGACCTGTCTCTTTCAGTCCTGGAAGTTGTCAAAGCTCGATATGGACCGGTCACACACGGAGTTTACATTGTTTTCTGTTGCTTCTGCAACGTTCTGGGTATGTCTCGGCCATTGTTTGCCACAACTCTGTGCATCAGAATTCTAACTCTCATTACAGTGACGGCAATGCTCCTCACTGGGGGATCTGCGGTCATTCAAAATTTGACAGGTGCCCCTGTAGCTGCCTCCGTATTTTTGTTCCCGATCGGTAAGTAGTGTCAGAAATTTCAGAACTTCATGTTTCTGACAGCCGAACAGGTGTGGTCGTCTACACTCTCTTCGGCGGTATCAAAGCAACCTTCATCACGGACTACATCAACGGCCTAGTCATTCTCATTATTATTTTCATCTTTGCATTCACAGTCTACTCGACCAATCAACTCCTAGGCTCTCCCGGGCGAGTATGGGAAATACTCACTGAACTTGCGGCCGAGCGTCCCTTAGCTGGGAACTCTGGCGGTAGCTACTTGACAATGCGCTCTCAAGGAGGCAGTAAGTTCCCATATTCGCATCCTCATAAGACTCGTCTCACAACCAGGTAGTTGAGTTCTTCATCATAAATCTCTGTGGAAACTTTGGCACGGTGTTTTTGGATAACGGTTACTATAATAAGGCGATTGCGGCAAGCCCTATTGATGCTCTTCCCGGCTATGTCATGGGGTAAGGTCCTCGCAAAGACTTACAAGTACCCTGTCCTCATGCTAACATCATATCAGCGGAATCAGTTGGTTCGCTGTCCCGTGGTTGACTGCGACGACAATGGGGCTTGCTGGCCTTGCTTTGGAAAAGTACGACATTTGGCCGACGTACCCGAACCGTCTAGCCGCTGCGGACGTTGATGCCGGATTGGTACTACCCACTGCTGCCGTTGCCCTCCTTGGAAGGGGAGGAGCGGTTGCAACGCTCATCTTGGCTGTCAGTTATGCTTCCAATTGCGACATGTTGGTTGCAAACTAATTCTTAACAGTTCATGGCTATTATGAGTACCTACTCGTCTGAGCTCATCTCAGTCTCGTCCATCTGCACCTACGATATCTACAAGACCTACTTCAACCCCGCTGCTACCGGTAAGCAACTCATGCGAATCAACTACATTGGTATGGGCGTCTTTGCCCTGGTCATGGCTGGCTTTGCGACCGGTCTCAACTACGTAGGCATCTCCATGGGGTACCTCTACCTAATGATGGGAGTTATCATCTCCTCCGCTGTCTTGCCAGCTGCTTTAACCCTCCTGTGGGACGGACAGTCCTGGGCTGCCGCGACCTTCAGCCCAATCATTGGATTCGCTCTTTCAATGACCGCATGGCTCGTCACGACGAAGATCAAGTATGGCGAACTAAGTGTCACCAACACTGGCGCCAATGAGCCCATGCTAGCGGGAAACTTGACATCGCTTCTTTCTCCAATCGTGTTCATCCCGCTTTTGACCTTTATGCCGCCTTTCAAGCCCCAGCAGTACGACTGGCAGAGTATGCTCAATATTCGTCAGGCTGACGATCATGAGCTTGCTGACGCTGCTCACGTGGATGTCGAAAATTCGCCGCAAGAGAGGGCGAGGGCACTGCAGAGCGATCCTGATGAACAAATTAAGCTCGAAAAGGCGGCGAAGACCGCTCGCTGGTTGACAGTTGGTGTGACACTTATTCTGCTCATTCTGTGGCCGATGCCCTTGTATGGCACAGGCTACGTCTTTGGTAAATCTGTGAGTGCTTGTTTCATCTTCAATTACCATTATCCGCACTAACACTGTATGTTACAGTTCTTCACTGGCTGGGTTGTCGTGGGTATCACTTGGCTGTTTGCCTCTGTGGTTATGGTTGTCTTCTTGCCGATCTTTGAATCTCGAAGCACAATTGTTCGCACTACGCGTATGATGTTCAAAGACCTTTTTGGCATAAGAGGAAAGGGCAAGCCTGTCAGCGAGGGTATGTCACCTGGCTGTAGGACCCCACCAGAGATCACGGAGAAGGCTACGGCCAAGACGTGAAGTTCAACTTGATTCTTCTTTGAGTTGAGCTTCGAAATCTAGGTGGATTAAATCTTTTTGAAGCATTTCTTGTTGCATGGATTGACGGGGTATGCCTTATACACGCTCCGGGGTTCTGCTTAAAAGTCTTTGATTGTCTGCGCAGGCTATCACAATTGGAGAATATCAATAGTCTCTCATATCATGCTCTGCTGTTCTGATCTCAAGACGTAGAGACATCGTCTTAACAAATTTGAGTATTCCATGAGTCTAGATTCAAGTTTGCTTGGCAAGGGCTCGACGGAAGCCGATGACTAGTGAAATCCATTCGGCGTGCGCGTCGTAAAGTCTTCGAAAAATTCCGGAATATCTGCAATGGCCAGTCCAATGCCGAATATTCCGGCAACGTCTGTGTTCACGAAGTCAATGAAGTCCTGTTTGGCAACTCGAAGGCGTCTTTAACGGGGCTTACACTGGTCTGGTCGGACGAGCACCATCGCACCAACCTCTGGATTAACGCCATACTTCGCATATGCTTCTCCGTGGCCCGCGTGGTAACTGGCATCATCGACGAAAACATTTTGAAGACCTTCATGATTCTGTTAGCCCAGAATTCGGGTCCCAATAACTAGAGAAGAAAATCCCGGGACTAATTTTGCAGTATCCAGATACTCACATTTAACTCCCCACCTGCCTCCGTTGGGCGTGAACAGTCGAGGTATCTGCTTATCTTCCAAATTTCGTCGGTCAGATTTGAGTACCAGAATCAGGCTTAAGAAACTATGAATATCGTTCTCAAGGACTGGCAGGCGTTTCATCAATCCTTCGAGCGCTTCTGCAACCTACACACATGTTAAGTGGTGCTATGAGTATAGCGGCCCGAGACTTCTATGTGCTTACCTGGGACAGACGTTTCTCTGCTTGAGACTCCAAGGCATTGCCAGGAAAGACAACTAAAGACCACCTCGAGTCTGAAAGAAGAGCATGCGAAAGCTGCATTGCTTTAGCGTCGGAGTACCGAACTACTTGCGCGCTTTGGAACCTCATTCCCACGCTGATACCAGATGCCAGGTTATCATTGTCACCAGGCCTCACAAGCATCGACGGCTGGTACTGCGTGGCTAAACCAGCGGTGTATCTCCCCGATTTTATGAAATAATCTTGGAAATCTTCAGTGGTGTAGCCATTCTCTTTCCGGTACGTCGAGGAGAACATCTTTGCAAATTGTGTGTCGAAATCGATGAGGCCCTTGGCGGTCTGGTGACGTTCGGAGACATACGTCTCCAATATCGATGGATGAGCGTGTTTTCGTAGGACCGCAGCAAGTTTCCACCCAATGTTGTATCCATCTTGTAAACTGACGTTCATTCCTTGTCCAGCTTTGGGCGAATGTGTGTGGCAAGCGTCGCCAGTGAGGAAGACTCGATGGTCCTTGGTGAAGTGGTCCGCTAGGCGTTGTCCGATAGAGTAGGCAGAGAACCATGATGTCTCGGCGATATCAACTTGGTAGGGCTTGAAGATGTCATCGATGCGCTCCTTGACTCTCTGAGATGTGACTTCGCCTGGTGTCGAGACCGGCATTTCCATATAGAACCTGACCATTTCATCGCCCTCTCTTGGTATAATGACCAAATTTCCTGCATCGGATTGGATGACGCTCTTTTTACGGATATCGGGAAAGTCAGTTTTGGGGTAAATGTCCATGACAGCCCAAACCACGTCACTGCTGTCGCCCACCATCTTGAAGCCGAGGGACTTTCTCACGGCACTATGGGCTCCATCGCAACCCTAGGATCGCCATTTAGTGTCTCTCGCTATCCAGGCAGTTAAGAACCACTCACCAAAGCATACTTGGCATGATATGTTCGCTCAACGCCATTCTCCATGGTCTTCACAGTTACGCAACGGGCCTCGGGATCTCCAGCAGCCTTGCTATCGACAAGGACCTCACGTATCTCACTCCCGTATTGGATGTGCGACTGACCAGATGACTTCACAATACCTTCGATCAAGATCTCGTTGATACGCGCCTGATTAAGAATGACATGGGGCAGATGGCTGAGTCCAGGCTCGGTGTCCGGCTCGAGATGTGACCTGCGGATTCCGCCATTGCCGTCAGGCGACCAGAATGCAAGCTCGAGAACGTGGTAGGCTTCCTTCAGCACATCCTCAGAGAGACCGAGGTGTTCGAGGATTTCCACCGTACGGACTTGAACACCGTCTGCTTGACCTTGCTTAAGAGGACCCTCGCGGCGCTCGAGGATTTTGAAGTTGATGCCGCATCGGGCCAACCAGACTGCTGCGCAAAGACCGGCCGAGCCGCTGCCGCAAATAAGAACGTCGTACTCCTCAGACATTTTTCAAAAGAAATATTGACAGTGGGATTCGGTATTAGAGATCCCCGCTGTAGGTTCAATGTGGTGTCTGGTCGCACATGACAACTGTTACTTGCTCGTCTTATACATCACTCGCCAGCCGAACTTCCGAAATCAGCTACCGGGCGGGGTTAACAATTATTTCCCCGGAAGTCAACTCGTGCGGGGGAATGTCATGGGGAGCGTCCCTGCATGCAAAGCCGTTTCTTGTGCATCCGACGAGTCTTCCGAATTCCGTCCGGGATATGAGGTCGGCACCGGCGACGACACCCACCAAACTATTGCGCCTGTGGATCCGGGTCCGCGTGGGTCCTCGAGATACCGACGGGGCCACGGCAAGTTTTTCACAAAATGCCGGAGGTTCGGCCACAAGATGTTCATCTGAAGGATCGTCCATGCCTCTTTGCTGCAATAGTACCAAGAAAGGTATGGCATGCCAATGCTGATGTATGACGAAAGCTGCTTCGCCTAAGCGCTTATGCACCCCAATTACCCCTCAATTCCGCGCCTCAACACAACACAACGCCTTGGCTGCAAACGCAAAAGAAGAAGATGGGCCAAAATTTACCTAGATAAGGGCAGCTAAATGGAACTTAACCAGTCAAATTCTGCCTCGGCGGATCATATTTCCATTTCCACAATTTTACGTCATCAAGTACGTGAAAGAATTTCTTCTGCCTTTTCACTCCCCTGTGCGTCATCATTGCAAGTCTACTCTCCTCCAAAGCAACTGAACCGTTATTCAACAAATCATTACGATGTCTTCCTCCGTTATTCCCACTTCCACCTCCGTCGTCGAGAGCGCCGTCATCAAGGCCCCTCTCAGCCATGTCTGGCACTTCATCAAGCGTAAGTGCAGTGAAAATCTGGTCCAGGTAGTGGACCAAGGATGAGTGAGGGCAAACGCTGATATCTTGCTTCCAACGAACAGTCCAGAACTTCCAAAACTTCTGGACCGCTCTGAAGGGCAGCGAGTTCGTCAAGGCTCAGGAGGAGACCGACATTGTCAGATGGACCTTCCAGGACGGCACCGTCCTTGAGGTCAAGCAGGAGGAGCACAGCGTAAGTTTCCATTTTGTTGATCGCGGGGTTACTTCCTCATGCTTCAATTCCAAACGAGGGCCTGCCTAACTCAGTTTTCCAGACCATCAACCACTACATCACCTACAGTGTCATCACCTCCCAGCCTGAGCTCTCTTACACCAGTGTCGTCAGCACCATTCGCTGCTACCCGGTCACCTCTGGCGAGAACGAGAACAGCACCTTCGTCGAGTGGACCGGCAACTTCTCCAGTGATGCCGATGCCGGTGTCATCCAGGACGCCAAGTTCAAGCGCCGTGAGGCTCTCGCCGACTTGGCCAAGGCTGCTGCCAAGTTGTAGATGTTCATGAGGAATGAGACCGGAATGTCAAATTATTGAACCCCTGCACTTGCCTCGTCAAGTAAGATAGTCAAAAAAAGTAAAAGATACCACTTGTTGTTCAGGCTCTCTCCCAGTATTCATGTGTGACATTTCAATATAGCGGTCAAATTTACAGAAGTCGAGATTGAATACGTTTGAGCATGAACTAAACTGAAAAGGTCTGTAAGAGCATCGTAGAAATTCCACTTCGTAGACAGGTCTTGTCGTTAATAGAAGAAGTAAATTGCCATCTGGAGTCATTTCCAAGTCTAGATAGATAGTCGGCAACATCTAACAGCACAAAGTAAGTCCCTGAAGTATTTGTCTCAACTTTATTTGGTGGTGGTTCTCTACATCGCTACTAGCCTGAAGAGTTCACCAATCCGAGCTCTTTCTTTCTTCATGACTTGCCAACTCTCTTTCTCAGGTTTGCCAACTTCATCATCAACAAAGCTCTCAACAATTGCATGCCTACACTAAACTGTTGCCAATAGCGGTTACGAGCCAAGGGATTCCGAGCCAAACCGAACAGCAGTGACAGCGCGTATCCCACCACGGCGGCACCTGCCAGCTTTTTGGGCCATGTCCGTCTCCTCCGCCCGGAGTGAGTCGGTCCCTTCGATATGTTAGCACTTCGCCGTTCAAGTAATTCTCTGCTTCATAGCATGCTTACCCGTATTTGCAAGTCCCCAAAGTCGGGGAACAGGCAGCGGTACCAGAAGTACACCTGAGAATAAGGATAGGTCGAGCCGTTCCACTTCTTGCCGCTCGTTGTGTCCTTCAAATACCAGCTGGTGCATCCTGTGGACCACACAGTCTTCTGCATGTCGGCCTGCATCTGGTTGACATATTCCTGTTCTGCCTCTCGGGTTACCTCGATGGTCGTACCCTTGCCGTCGAGCACCGGTTTAATGATTCGGAGCGCAAAGTTGATGGAATTTTCGGCTGCGATGATCGTGGATGTGTGACCTGTAAGTGAGTTTGGTCCTAAGTGAACACAGTTAGCAGCAACTCGACTGTCTTATGGCGTATACTAGGGATCTTACCAAGAAGTACAAAGAAGTTGGGAAAGCCGCTTGCAATCGTACAATTGTAGGCCTCCGGGCCACCAAACGACTCCCAATGCTGGTCAATTTGCTCTCCGTTTCGGCCAACGACATCCAGACCTCCAACTGCGTTGTTCGTTACAAACCCGTTGGCCAAAACGATGACGTCCGCCTCTGTGACGCCTTCTTGGGTACAGATACCTTCCGGTACAATTTCTCGGATCGGATCATCTAGCAATGTAAGATTTTCCGAGTGCAAGCTCTTCAAATAGCCCGCGTCGAAAATGCGTCTCTTGCAACCCAATTCGAAGTCCGGTATGAGTTTGCCGTGATACTTCTCCGGCGCCATTGTCTTCATGTACTTTTCAGCGCTGGCTCTAGCACGCTTGCGATATTTGTTCCCATCATTCGTCATATAAAACCCTCGCAGTGTGTTCTCTGCCGCAGCGAAGACCAGAAATCTCTGTAGCGTCTGTGTTCCCGGCACATGCCTTAGAACTTTCTTCATGAAATCCGTGTTCTCGTTGTCGACAGGCGGCAGGACCCAATGCTTTGTCCGGATCGCTTGCGTAAGGTGCTTCGTCTTGTTCACAATCGCCGGCACGATTTGCGATGCGGTACACCCATTCCCGATAACTACGACCTACTTGTCCTGGATATCCACGGTCTTATCCCACCGAGACGAGTGGAAGATGCGACCCTTGAAGCTTGTTGAACCGGGAACGTCGATCTCCCGTGGTTGCATAAGTTGTCCTGTGGCAGCGAAGAGGAACTGACACTCGTGCGCGAAGACCTCGTTAGTTTCGTAGTGACGGATGTTCATCCTCCAGCGTTTGCGCTCTTCCGACCAGACGCATTGTTCGACGTTGACGCCGAACCTCATCTTGTCTATGAGCGAGTATTTCTTGGCGACATCGTAAAGATACTGCCATAGCTCCTGCTGGGGAGGCAACACTCGACTCCAGTCTGGGTTGGACTCGAAGGAGAAGCTATACAAAGCACTGGGCACGTCGCATGCACATCCTATGGAAAGATATCAACAGCTGTAATGTTTGGTGGAGCCTTTGCTCGAAAGTGAGATGTTACCTGGGTATTGGTTGATGAACCATGTCCCTCCAAGTTCACTGTGCCGCTCAAAGAATTTGATGTCGCCAATGCCATACCATCTCTTCAGAGTAGCCCCCAGCCCGATTGCCGAGAACCCAGTCCCAACGCACGCGAACTGACTGTAGGTGGGCGTTTGTGAGGCCTGCGACATTTTCCGTGTACCGAACTAGCCGTGATGTATTGGAAAGGCGGGAAGGGCGTAATCACGACTAATTGTCTCTAACTTCAGGTACAACTGTAGGCTTTGTTTTCAGAAAGGATGAGGTCGAAAACTTAGTTTCAGGAAGCGACCGAACACCCGCAGAAGTCAGGACAATGCGGGGGAGCATGTCGTCGTCGACCTTGGTCAACGGGGGCTAGTTCGCTCAAGCCTCGGCTCGTCCCACGTTGAGTCCCGTCTCGTCCGAGGGGGGCAAGCATATGCATGCTATTACGACGTCGTTGTGAAACTTTGTAACACGTCCTGAGAAACAGTATGACCTAAGAGGCTAAGAGACCTTGTACCATGGGGGATCGCCCCAAAGTGGAGAGCTACCTAGCTGGGGAATGAGGGGGAAATGGAGCTGAGAGCCGAAAGACGACGATCCCGCTGTGAACTATTGGGCGAATATCGTTCTTGGCAGATCGGAAGCACACGAGCTATGTTAGAATGTAACGATTCGCGGCCGGAGCGCCGGGGTAACGGAGAGGTTCACGCCCCGGTCCATCTCGATTCGGCTGAACTTATCCGGCTGGGGGCCCTTGAAGACCCATCACCACATTTGGCGAGCTACAGGTCTCAGCTCTTGTTACGCGCATAGATGTGACAGGTCGATATCTTGACTCGGTCCGAAAAGGAGAATTATAAGAGTGTCCATTCAGAAATACTTCTGTCATGGGCACGTTCTGCTAGATTGGAAGTGTGTACTACTTCGCATTCACTCTTTTGAGAACCCCTTACATGGAGCTGAAGACTCTCACTTCTCCGCAGGTTCCACCATCTCAAATTGACCAGTCGTATTGTCAATCTTTTGCCTTGGAGTGTACGCAATATCCTTCGCGCTCGCAGTTGTTTCCCTTGCAAGGCGCCAGAGCCACTCTGGACCGGCTCGCTGCAGATCAAACGCGTCAGTAGAGTCCAAAAGATTGAGAGACGCATGGAACTCACCAGAGCTGTCACAGATGACATGATGCCCGGCAGATAAATTGTCCTTCCGAAGCCACTGTACAAGGAATTCACAATGGCTTCTCCTACTGAATCCACATGAAGCAGCGGCATCATGAAGTGAGGCTGACCGGGATCGAACGGGACCAGCGGCGTTCGGATGAAGCCAAAGATACCGAGCGTTTGACGGACTTTGGGCGCTTTGTGGATGTACTTCAGCTCAAGTTGGAGTGACTGGAAGATGTCAGCGGTTGTCAGAGCGCTCGATAAGTCAAATGTATGTCATTTACCTCATGCATTGCGGTGAGTCCTGCCTTGGTAGCCGAATAATCGGCAATTCTCACTGGAGGTACCACAGAACTCATCGATCCGACGTTGACGATATGGCCGTGGTTGGTGCGAACCATGTACGGCAAGAATTCTTTCGTAAGAAGGAATGGAGCGAGCAAGTTGGTCTTGATGGTTAACTCAACGTCCGCGTACGAGCCTTCCATGACGCTGTAGCCCCGTGCTATTCCCGCATTGTTGACGAGGACGGTAGGATCGCCGACTTGGGTTCGGATCATTGTGCAAAGAGTTTTGAGCGCCTTCGTATCGGTCAGATCACACTTGAAGAAGTGAACCTTGGAGCCTTTGGGAGGCTCCCATAGCAACGGAGCCAAGTCGACAACAACAATATTCGCCCGCGGGTTCCTGGCCAAGATATGTTTGATGATGCTATGGCCGATACCGCTGCTGCCGCCGGTGACAACGATGATCTCCTTGTCAAAGTCCCATGTGTGATCTGTCGTCCAGTTGTTTGCCGACCACTTGTTGAGATATTCTGTAGTTGACAAGACAAAGCTTACTAGAGCCGCGAGGAACGCAACGCGCTGAGCGGTATCAAATCTGATATCTGAGAGTCCGACCGCTCCGTTCTTTTTGGCTGATACCACCGCTAGTCCGGTCGCAAGCGGTACTGAGAGGTATGGATTGAGAACTGATTTTCGGAGCCATCTTGCAATCACGTCGACCGTGAATCCTTCTCGTGATGTTAACATGATGAATTATAGCTTGACACATCAAATTCGCTTGAAAGTTATGGGACGTAAATGATGTTTATCAATAGCCAGCTTTGCAGTGCTGTCCAGGGTTGGTGTTTTAATGTTATGGGCGAAACTGTCACGTTTCAACGTGAGCCGAGAACGACCCCAACAGCTTTGATACGATCCCTCGCTGGCGAGGAGCCGAGGTCCGGAATCACGTCCACGAGATCAGACCAACCGATTTGGTAGCCCCATCTGCACGAGCATGAGGTTTGGAGATCCAAGCTTCTTTTCCCTGCACGTCAAAGTGAGGGGCATCCCCCGGGCAAAAAGGCAAGGATCTAACCTGAAGAAGCGGCGTGATGCTACGTTGGGATACCGGCTTCTGTGACGAGTTTAAACGAGTGCGAATCACCTTGCCAGCCAACCTACCTACAGGCTACACCAAGCTACTGATAAGTCTACCACCCTGAACAACCCTGAATTATGCCTCGGTCGGGAGGTTCGGTAGTTGGAGCTTCTTTTCGTTTGCCCGTGCCCTCTGCAGATTTCTGCGGACAGACATGTCAGTGACATTCTGAGCCACATTTGCGTTTCTTGTCCACGTCAAACCTCCTGTCTGAACCTGTCTGCACGTTCTCCCAGACTTCCAAAGCCACCCGGTGCGCTGTGTTAGTGGTTGCTTACTCACTTGCCAGTTACTCGTAGCACAGCCTTTTCTCCTTTCATTTATGTCGGCCGTACGGCTGGATCGTAGACAGTTTTGACACCAGACGAACCGAACCGTTAGGCACATCAGTAGACTTCTTTCCGGGTGCGATCATCGCGTGCGAGTGCGACAGAGAAACTAACATGTCGGTATCGAGACCGCAGCTTTCGCTGTGGGAGAAGAGAGACCTGGTCTTTCGTTTGCTGTTCCGTGGTATGTCTCGCTTTCGTTATGGCTCCTCCTTCGACCTTTAAGCTAGACATCGAATCGTGACTGACTTCGCATGTTGGCAGCTCCGATACAATTGGCGTGGAACTTCTTCTATGGCATCCCGTTTGCTATCGCGAGAGGCGTCTCAATTCGCTTCTTCGCCTTCTGCGCATACTATCGTTTTGCCCTTGGGTCGATGAGAGCGCGCGAGATACAGTTCTTGATCCCTCCTTCAATCAAGACGTACGAGAAATGGATTGCGAAGAAGCAGAAACGTCATCCAGAGCTGGCAGACAAGCTACAGAAGAAGATCGACCCGCTCCCTGCTAATGATGGCTCAATCTTGTGGATCGGCAATCGTCAAAAGGCTACCAAGTTCGTCTTGTTCTTCCATGGCGGTGGATACGTGGTGCCGCTTCTTCCCGGACATCTCGACTGGTGCTGGAATGCGTACGTCAACGGTGGCCCTGGAGCTAACGCCGAGGTTGCTGTTGCCGTCTTGCAATACACTCTCGTACCCGAAGCACGGTATCCCACCCAGCTTCGCCAGGCCATCGCGGCGCTCAATCAGCTCATCCTCTCCGGCGTCAAACCCAGCGATCTCCTGATCGGTGGTGACTCGGCGGGAGGAAACCTAGCCTGCTCCGTCGTCCGCCACATCTGCCACCCATGTCACCTTGAGATCCCGGCCCTGCGCCTCGAGAGCCGCCTCGCAGGTGTGTTCCTTGTGTCGCCCTGGCTCAGCAGCAAGACAACGACGCCGGCATTCACGGAGAATAATTACGTCGACATGCTCACCACGACGTGTATGTCTCGCGCCATGGCTGAGCTCCTTCACCCGCGGTTTCCCGTGCGAAACAAGTCCGACGAGAGCGACCTCGCCATGGCGATGCCTATGGACGGCGATATGGCGTGGGTGGATGAGATATCCACAGCTACCAAGAGCCTGTACATTACTGGAGGTCAGCAGGAGGCTTTTAGAGATGACATTCGCGCGTTCTCGGAGCATGTCAGCTGTGGGAACAATGATCTGGATCTACTGGTCGAATTGCCGGAACGCGAAGCTCATGATTTTATCTTGCTTGAGGGTCAGACTGGTCGTGTTGGTGATGCGACGGTGAGGATGAGGAACTGGGCCACTACGCAGCTGAGCACCGGGCGCGCTTCAGTCTGATGTGGCATGTGAGATGAGAGAGATGCATGTAGGAGAGGCGGTGGTACCGAGTTCTTCGCGACAGTGAAATATATCAACCATTAATGAGTGAATAAATTGCGATCCGACACTTGGGGATGACCATGGGCCAGCACATATGTGATTGTTGTAGTGTACATCTTGTTGTGAGCAGTGCAGGGTGAGAGCCAGACTGGAGTGAGTGAACGCCATATCCCCAATGAAAGTGAAAGTGGTGAGGGGTCCTTTTCACTCGCTATCGTGCTTCCAATGTGGAACAACGTGAACTTTGAGTGCTTACCGCAGTGGAATAAGGCAACATGTGCTCCTGAGTCATCATATCTAATCCCCGGCTCAATTAGTGCCTTGGACCCTGGTCGTCATCCCAGTCAGAATGAGCGGTCTGGTCAAATCAGAAAAGACAACTTCAGCAACTGTCCGCACCACCTACTTGAAGAAGACCACCAGTCGCCAACGGTCTCGCCAAGCGAGGCCTATTTTGGCCGCTTCGAGAGCGGGGTGGAAAGAAACAGACGCGTCGCGTCCACAAACTCCAGGCAACAGACAGCAAAGCATCTCATCGAGCCTCTTCACGATAACACGTCTGCTGCGGGATATTTATTATTCTCTCATTTTCTCTCAGATTGTGAGATCGGTGTGAGTCTTGATCACTAAACCACCAACCTCTCAGAATCGCTTTGCTCACTCACTCCTCACATTCAGGCGTGGCCACCACCGTCGACGAGATGCTTCCAGATCAACCCCCCCTCAACTGCGCCTACAAGCGCGACGATGTCGTCGCTGGCCTCACCGAATACTACTCAGCGCTCACGCGCATGGCCTACATCCCATCATCATACGTTGATTTCCCACCGCCAGGGGGCTGGACAGACGCCGACCTTGAGATAGGCGCCCTGCGCGCTCTACGACGCTCCGAAACCGTCATTGACCTGCTGCGCCATATCCCCTATGCCAGACCAATGCACGACGGACCTCGTCCGGGCCCTTGGAACGTCGCACCACAAACCAAGGCTGTGCGCTACCTCCGTCACATGGGACACTTCAGTCAGTGGTCCGATCGCGGCGACGCGGGGCTGCTTGAGCTTGCTGCCCTTCCCTCTCACGACACGGGAGCCGCACCGATGGATTTGCCGCCGGATGTGATTTGTCTCACGTTTGGAGAGTACCATTCTTCAAGCTCGCGCACGAAGCCCTATTGGTGGATTGTAGACTGCAGCCGAGGTGTTATCACGCCTTATCAAGAGCGAGTCTACAGCGTCGGAAAGGTCCCACGCAACAAGCCGTGGCGATGTGTACGGTCGTACTCTGTTACGGATTACTTCTCGCAGCTCGTGTCGAGTCTGGGCGTCCAGCTGTTCCCCGTACCGCCGACCGAGGATGTCGACGCCGAGATCCTTGACCCGAGCGCCCTCGCGAAGTCATCGGAGCCGGTGGATATCTACCGCGCCCACGGCTGGGGCACCGGTGATCTCGGAGACTTCAGACACGACGAGTGCATCGTCGCGCTCCAAGGTTGGCGACGCCGGGTGCATGAGGAAGTGCAGAGAAAGATCGCTCAGGATGTGGACGACGCCGATGATGAGGACTTTGAGATGGACGACAGTGACGACGACGAGGATGCTGCGCATGAGGGAGAGGCGGGTGATGGCCTCGCTGATGCCGTGGCGGATATGGAGATGGACGATTTGAGTGCCGAGGCTGCTGCTCTGAGAGCTGACATGAGCCCAGAGGAACGTGCAAAGTTTGATCGCAGAGAGATGCAGTCGTACTTTGAGTGGGTTGATGAGGAATGATTGAAATGCAGTATGCCTTACGAAACCAAAGTTTCTGCTTTAATTTGCAACTAGTAGATGAGATATAGAACTGTACCACAAGACATTGATCACGCCTATTCCATGACCAAGGTTTTGTGACCCGAATCTCTATCACATCTTCGAATTACGCGCTGTCTTCACTTCAAACTCCCATTCAGGGCTATTCCCCTGACTGTGCTTCTTCAACAAGGTCATTGAGTTGCCTCGTAGAATCTCCGGCGCAAGCATCGATCCTCGCGGATGAGAAGCAACAAATCCCTCGTAGGAAAGAACCTGAAGCTCTATCAGTGGGTCAGGGCAGTATGGAAAGTCGGATCCAAAGAGAATGTGCGACGGATCCGCAAAGTCGAGCAGTCCACCAAGCTGGGTCGGGCTAGAACTCAACGCCGTGTCGTAGTAGAAGCGAGCAAAGTCAGCCTGGGCAGTCTCGTAATCCACAGCAACGACATTTGCAAGAGCCGGGATGTTGAGGGTCCCCAGCACACGGGTAGCTAAGAATGGGAGAGTTCCTCCGGCGTGCGAGAGGATCACGTCGACGTCGGGACAAGCGTGGAGAGTCCCGCTCAGAACGAGATCCACCGCGGCGCGGGTAGTCGCGAGAGGGTAGTCAACGATCGGCTGCGGAAGTGCCGAGGCTATGAGCTTGGGGGTAACGTCGAGTCCTGTCGGGTGTAGGAAGACAAGAGTTTTGTGAGCTTGTAGCTTCTCCCAGATTGGCTTGAACGTCGGGTCACCGAGAAGCTTGCCTCCGTAGGAGGTAAAGACGGTTACACCGTGACAGAGTCTCTGCTGCTGGTATAGGAACTCGATCTCTGAGACTGTGCCGTCGACGTCTTCCCAGTCAGGCAGGACTCCGAAGAATCCAAGGCGTTTCCCTGCTAGTGAATTGGCTATCTGGTGCGCGAGATCTTTGTTCAAGGTGCGTGAGAGCTTTCGTCCGTCTTCGTTGGGTCCTGCGATCGATGCACCTGGAGCCGAGACTGACAGTATCCCTAATCATAGCGTTAGTTGACTCAAAGAAGGATGCACCATGTTTTCTTTTAGAGCTGAGAATCTCACCTATCGCCGTGCTGACACTATCCATTAGCTTAACAGTCGCATCTAGAGACCACTCAGGGGATGGAAACCCGGAAGGGTCTCCTCCTGCAGCCTGCACAGCTGCAGTGTAAGCCGGAGGAAGTGCGTGAATGTGAGTGTCGATAAGTCCTGACATCTTGAAATGGGTTTAACTCAAATTAGGATATCATGGAGTGACTTGTCAACGTCGAGTTGCTATACTCATATTGTTAAATAGATCTCATGGAGTGTGTACGGCAGTCCTAAGTCCCCGGTCAACACGGAAGCAAGGTGCCGATGACCGACCCCTTTCGAGGCCGAGCTGCCAAACTCAACATCTTTGATCGTCATTGGTTGCTCTTAAGTGGTCGGTGTTAGATTTTCGCTAGCTCCGACATTCGTCTTCAAAACGGCATTCGGCGTGTGCAATGGCCGCGAGCGACGCGAGCTACAGTTTACTGATAGTTGCTGCAACAATCAAAAGCTACGGCGTATTCTTTATGCGCGAGGTTGACTTTCGAAGACGCTTATTAGTAGCAATTGCGATATTTCGGCCTTAGAAAATACCTTCCTTAGCCAGTAAACTATGTTATCTACCTTTCCACAGTAAGGTATTTACGACTACTAGGACCCAGGGTTTTCGGTGGGCTTTACCTCCTCACATCCCATAATGCGATGTTGGCACCCAAATCAGACTTGTCGAATTTTCATAAAGTCGCCAGCCTTGCCGCACACTTCTCGTGATTTCATCATGTCTTAAGATGCCCGCCAAGCTGCGCGAGCAGGCAACGAACGACCACAACTTCAACCCGGAGAGCTAAATAGAAGCAAGGACGCATATATGCAAGACCTTCACCAAAAAAAAACATTCCTTGAGATGGCTCGGTACCACCTAAGCAACCGAGTCTTTGAAATGTTTGAAAAGAAAGAGTAGCAATTGGCGGTTCTAGACCGAAAAGATCGACCCTCAAAACGTCATCAGGTATCCCTTATGTAGTGCGACATCAGCCTTCGTACCACCCTACCAATGACGGCTCGACGTCGGGCCCTCGATACTTCAACAGGCTTGAATTCTAACCTTTCTGCCAAGAAGTCTCCCTTCTAATGGCAGCTGAGGGCCATCGCTTGTGAGGTTGTGATGATCATTGATTAATTAATATCTCACCGTTTCAAGCCATGATCCAGCCAGTACTTGATTCGCAGTCTCTGAACGTGTGCGCTTCATACTACCAGCTCTCGTGCGGGGGCTATCATCAGCGCCTTCACAGGATGTCGCAAGTAAGACAAGAGACTGTAAGACAGTGTTGGAAGATCCTGCTGTACATAGAAACCGCCACATGGTATTTGTAGTAGCGCTGCATGTTGGGGATCGACAGCTAACGGAATCCCCGACTGAAGAGAAAACATCACAGTCTTGGCTATCTTAAAATATAATGCTGCAAGCGTTCTTTTCTCAGCCCTAATCACATCCCTGGTTGCCTTCCTCTTTCGTACACGTTTTGCTGACGTTCATACGCTGTTCACTTCTCTATCCCTACTAGTGCTTATCTGGTATAATAGGGGCATTTTATCGTTCAATGATGACTTCCAGTCGTGATCAAGAGGTCGTTGAAGCTGAAAAACGCACACTCTTCGCTGGTCGGGGTTCATACTTTTCAATAATCTTCTCGTCATCCATCCACTCAGTATGAAGGACCACGATCAGTTCAAACTCAGACCACTATCTACCCCACGATCCATTCGACTAGTCGTGCTGCGCAGGAGCGCCGAAAATGACTCCATTGAAAACCCTCTCGGCGGTCATCTCGTTGAAGTAGACGTAGATTGTCCGCCCTCATACGTTGCACTTTCTTACACCTGGGGAGGAGAGGAACCTTGCGAACCCCTCGTAATTCATAATTCCGGACGTGCTAAGCAGCAGCTATTGATAACTCCCAATTGCGCGGCAGCGTTGAGATTGCTACGCCGGTCCCTTCGCCGCAAAACAAAAAAACGTCGAAGCTTGAGTGTCTGGATAGACGCCATCTGCATCGACCAAGCGTCCGATGATGAACGCAATGCTCAAGTCGCCATGATGGCCGAGATCTATCAGCGCTCCAAGACTGTAGTTGTCTGGCTTGGGCAGGACCACGCACCGACGACTTGGGGCAGCTTGGCATGCTCAAAGCCTCTGGCATTGTTCCCACGCCTCAGTTACGATCGCGGCCGTAACGATGGAGTCAAGAGCTTTGCGGCCAGAATCGCTCTCAAAGGTATGATGTCACGCAGATCCTCATCGTGAGATAACCTATCTAGAAGCCCTCTAACCGAGACACAGTCTGCAACAACGACACGCTGCACCGCTTGAGACTGTCACCCTACTGGACCCGTGTATGGACACTCCAGGAATTTGCGCACAAGAACTCCGCCGTCTTATGCCGCGACTCCCGACTCTTCGTCTTCTCGAGCCTTGCGCGTCTCCTAGCCGTAGCACCCAAAGATGAGAGCGTGCCGAGCCAGCAGGGAATGGACCTACATGTAGACCTCTACGAATGGCAAGCAATGGCAACAACACGCCCGTTCCGCGCGGCAACGAACCAACTACGCCGCGTCCTCACAATGCAGGCTTCGGAGCCGCGAGACAAAATCTTTGCGCTGCGGGCGCTGTCTCCGGGAGTGCTCGGGAAGATGACGGTCGATTACCGTAAACCCGTGGGAGAGGTTTTTCTGGACGCCACGAGACTCATGGTTGAGGAAGAGCATAGCTTGCGGGTGCTGTACTTTTCGAACCGGAAGAAGACGACTGCTGGTGTTGCGTGGGAGAGTATGCCCTCGTGGACTGTCGACTTTGCGACTACGGACTCTGAGGTAAGGGGGTCGTATAAATACTACTACACCAGTCTCTGCGCGGCTTCTGGTGGTGCCAAGTCGCATTTTTCGTTCTCCGGCGACGGAAAGAGGCTTACACTTCGAGGAGTGTGTGTAGGGAGAGTAGGCAGTTTTGTGAGCGATATATTCCCCACCAAGAGCCAATGTGTTGAAGGAAGATGTGTTGCCGATCACAAGGACATGACGGATAAAGACGACGAGAGCGAGGTCAAGCATCCCTTCTCTCACGATTGCGAAAGTCCGTACATGGATGTACTCGGCTGCTTCATGACGAGCGTGACGAGCACAGTATGGGCCGGGCCAAAGCTGGATGCCATGGGCCGCAGTCTCTACGAGCTGCTATGGTGGATTATTCAAAGGCCAAAGAAGTACGAATGGTCGGCGTCCATGTCATCAACGTCAACATCTTGCTCATCTTCTTCAAACAAGGCGGTTCGAGGTATGTCAGTCGTCTCCTCGCTCGTCAAGTGGGATTCGCTGCACTGCGGGTGTCAGTGCAGAGTGGAACTACGATTGGGACGATTATTCTACACTATCGATCGAAAGGCCGGATTTGGAGTCGTTGGTGTTCGGGAAGGTGATGCAGTTTGTCTTCTTGCTGGAATGGATCATCCCTTCATCTTGAGGCCTTGTAAAGGTGAAGCTGGGAGATATGAGATAGTGGGACCAACGGTGTTTGCTGGCGCGATGGGTGGTGAGATGTGGCCAGCTGATGAGGATGAGCTAGAGTACTTTGAGATTGTGTAAGAGATTATGTCCACGGTGTCGGAGTCCACGACGTACTCCATCGAGTTTTCAAGACCGTGAAGGTGAGAACCAATGTTAGGGTGTGATCACACCGTTGTGCTAGAGTAAATTAGTGATGAAGCCCAAGAGGATGTTCTCTACTTTCGTCAAGAGACGCGTCGAAACTCAATCCCTTGGTCCCTTGGCCCCTTGGCCCGGCACGCTCTGTAGTCAGACCTCTAGAAAGAATTGAGAAGACCTTTGAAAGGGACCGGGCACTAGCTCTGGGCATTGAGTCCGACAATTGAGCATCGGACCTTTGCTTCGGGTAGTCCGACCGAGTCAATCATCTGAAAGCTACCTGCTTGACTTTCAATTCTCCAAGCGTGGCGTACGAGCCATGTTGTAGTCCTTCCTCAAGCCCAGCTTCAAGAATAAATAAGATGCAACAGCCCTGTCAAGGCTGACAACAAATGACGTTGGACTGGAGTTCTCCGTGTGCGTGTGTGCGTTTGCCCCTCTTTGTACAACACATCAACTTGCCAACAACCATTTCTCTCTTCTTGCCCCGCCACTAAGCCTCGTCTCGGAGCCTCACTTTAGGGGTGTTGCCAGTTGAACAGGTGGGTTAATTGACTTTAGGCTGTGCCTTTATGCAAGATCATCCCTGACTCACATCAACCTAGGATGAATGGTCTTTGGAAAAGTGCCCCCCGCCGCCGATGATGAAAGTACGGTTCGGACGACTCTGAAACCCCAACTGAAGCATCTCAAGGGCCGCCATACGGCCCCTCCAACCGGAGCCAACACCAAGTTGCTAACCCCTCTTCTGCGGAAATCTCATCGGCCTCATCCCGGTACGGCACCCAAACATCCGATCCAGAGGTCCTCCGCCGCTTCCCACATGATCATGCGGGAAGCTCCTGGAAGTGTAATGCGAGTTGGGCTATTGGACGTTGTGAAAGATAGTTAGGGTATAGTATATTCTCTCTTTGCCCACTGATATATGGGCCAGTCTGTGCCCGCATGAAAGACGTTACATCGAATGACATCTTTCCCTTCTCTCCCCCCCCCGGACTTCTGCTTCTGCGCTCTCATTCCTTCCATCCCATCTTTTGCTCATCGTAGTCTTGGCGCTTTTACGCGCATAACGCATTTTCCTCACGAGCTTCCATCATCAGGCCGGCGAAAAAGAAAAAAATGGCGAGACTCACAAGCTGGCTTCTCCTCTCAGCATGGGGAGCCGCCTCCGCATCTGGGCAAGGCCTCCACGAGCTGGCCGTAAAGTCCGGGAAACTCTTCTTCGGCACGGCGACGGACACGAACCTCTTCAATGATGCGGCATACATGGCGGTCCTAAACAGAACGGGCGAGTTCGGCCTCGTGGTGCCGGAGAACAGCCAGAAGTGGGACGCGACGGAGAAGACGCAGAATGACTTCCAATTCAAGAACCCAGATGCTGTACGAGGGGTCGCACAGGCAAATAAGCAGATGATGAGGTGTCATGCGTTGACATGGCACTCTCAACTCCCACAATTTGGTGCGTTCCTCGTCGTACTAACTCAAATCTTGCGGCCAATATTGACCAAGATCAGTCTCAACGGGAACCTGGACCCCAGAAACCCTCACCCCCGTAATCCAAGCACACATCTCAAACGTGGTAACGCACTACAAAGGCGCCTGCTACTCGTGGGACGTCGTCAACGAAGCCCTCGCCGACAACGGCACCCTCCGCGACAGCGTCTTCTCCCGCACCCTCGGCACAGACTTCATCTCCATCTCCTTCAAGGCCGCCGCGGCAGCCGACCCGGCCGCGAAGCTGTACTACAACGACTTCAGCCTCGAGTTCAACTCCAACAAGACGGACGGCGCCGTCAAGATCGTGCAAGATCTCAAAGCCGCAAACGTGAAAATCGATGGCATCGGGTTCCAGGCGCATTTCCAGGTCGGCAAGACGCCGTCGCAGGATACGCTGAACAAAGTGATGACGCGCTTCACGGATCTGGGGCTGGAAGTCGCGCTTACGGAGTTGGATGTACGGCACGATAAACTGCCTGCCGATGATGCGGCGGTGCAACAGCAGGCTAAGGACTACGGCACCGTCGTCAAGACGTGCGTGGAGAACGCCAAGTGCGTCGGCGTCGTGGTGTGGGAGTTCACGGATAAGTACAGCTGGATCCCGTCCACATTTTCGGGGGCCGGGGACGCGTGCTTGTTCGATAAGGATATGAAGCCCAAGCCGGCGTATGCAGCCGTCGCGGCGGCGTTGAGAGGAGCAGGAGCAGCTGCACCGGTAGCAGCACCGGCGCCGGCGGCTGGAGCCCAGGGCGTGCTGTCGTCGGGAAGCAGTGCATCTGGTACCGGGGCCGGGGTTGAGGCCACGGATGCCGATGCCGGGACCGATACCGAGGCCGATGCCGACAGCGGAGCGGGGGAATCACAGGCAAAGAGCAATGTGGAGGCAGCGACCAAGTCACCTTCCTCTTCGGGAACAGGTCGCTTTGAAGCCGTGCTGCTGATTTCGCCGCTGATAGCCACCGGTATCGGCTGGCTTTTCTGGTTGGTGATATGATCTCTAGACACCTTTCTTGTTACTTAGCTGTTCCTGATGGCACGATCTTGATACCAATCGATATATCTCCCGGATCTTCCTCGTCCCAGAACTTTGATGTTGTTGAGAGCAAATCATTGAGGATTGGCGTGCTTCGGCTGCGACGTTGCGTGTGTCAATGGGAGCCCGGTCCGCGGGTGGTGTAAGTGAGGAGATGTATGATGTCATGCTCCCTGCCGGCAACCTACACTGATAAAAAGAGACCGGGGGGGCTGGTTGAACGATTAGGTATCGGGATGATGCGATTTCAAAGCGAAGAGGGGAAAGAGAAATTCTGCCAAAAGACTTGCGGCTCCCATCAATTGAACTGTTGCAGACATAATCCGATTGAGCTGTGAATAGCACCACGACCCGGGAGTAATTCAAATAGGGAGAACTGGTTTCTTGAATAGCTTCATCATGGTGTACCTCAGGACGCTAGTCGCCGCTGCCGCCGGCGCAGGCTTAGCCCAAGCTTCGCTCTCCGGCCTCGACAAGATCCCGCCTCTGGGCCTGGGAACATGGCTGTCCGACAAGAGCAAAGTCGCCGACGCCGTTGCCTTCGCCGTTGGCGAGGTGGGCTACAACCACATTGACGCCGCTCTCATCTACAGTAAGTTCCATCTCATATTCACATGCTCCCAAGCATGCTCACGCGAGTCAAACAACTCACACGAGTCATCCACCCTCTCACCTCAAAGCTCAAGATCGAGATCCCACAACTAACCACCGCCCCAGGAAACGAAGACCAAACCGGCAAAGGGCTCGCCTCCTCTGGCGTCGCCCGCAAAGACATCTGGATCACCTCCAAGCTCTGGAACACAGACCACCGCGCCGACCGCGCCGCCTCCGCCATTAAAAAGTCCATCTCGGACCTGGGCGTAGACTACCTCGACCTCTACCTAATCCACTGGCCCGTCGCCTTCATCCCCGACGATCCCAATAACGCCCTCGACCGCGAGACCACCCTCGTCGACACCTGGAAGACCCTCGAAAGCTTCGTCAAGGCCAACCTAACCCGTCACATCGGCCTCTCCAACTTCGCCAAAGCCGATGTCGAAACGATCTTGAAGGCGGCGGAAATCAAGCCCTACGCTCACGAGTTCGAGACACACCCGTACCTCCAACAACAAGAGTTCGTCGACTGGCATAAGGAGAAGGACATCGAGGTCATCGCCTACTCCCCGCTCGCCAACACGAACCCCACCTACGGCGACGACCTGCCCGCCATTTACCAGGACAAGTTCTGGGTCGATGTCGCGGCCAAGAAGGGCGTTTCCGTCTTCCAGGCCGTGCTGGCGTGGGGTGTCCAGCGGGGTACGAGCGTGATTCCCAAGAGCACAAAGGACTCGCACATCATCTCGAATCGCAAGGCGCTTGAGGTCAAGTTCAGCGAGGAGGAGCTCAAGGAGATCGGCAAGCAGGATAAGAAGCACCGCTTGAGCAACCCGGGTGCCAAGTGGGGTGTGAAGCTATTTGCTGATTTGGATGATCCTGGCAGGAATGAGCCCACGAGCGAGGAGCTCTAAGCAACTTGTGAAACTTGGAATATTGAAATTGTTGAGAGCTATCTAGTGTTATCTAGTCTGGTCCCCGAAATTTATTCATCGCAAATCTGTCTTGTATCTCTCGCAAACACTCTACCTAGATAAATCCAAATTGCTGGCCGTCGATAACCGCTTCAGTAAATGAGGCACATCGTCCTAGCCGTTTGGTCAATGGTCGGCCCTGTTGCAATGCGCATAGTACTTCCTCCTGGCCCAGTAAAACCCAAGCCCAACAATCCACAAAACGATCAAGATGAGTGCTTGCACAGGGGCAAAAATGGCCCCCCTCACAACCACAAATCCACTGACCAGCGCAAACACAATCGGGATCAGCACAAATGGCTTATACGGTCTCCGCAGCTTCGGCTCTCGAACGCGCAGGATGACCGCACCCAGGACCGTCAAAAAGAAGAATGTGTACTCGCCCAGACCGTTGAACGTCAACAGAGCGCGGAAGTTACCAAACAGAATATACAGCGCCGAGAGGATTGTCGAGAGCAAGAGCGCGTTGAGCGGCGCGTCGGACCTTGTGTGCGCGGGTCCGGAGGATTCGTCCGTTGAGTCGGCTGGCGAGTTCTCCTCCGACTTGAACCCCACGCGGCCTACGAAACCGAGGAACTTGGGGAGCCAGTTGAAGTTTGACGCAGCAACGGTCATGCGGCCTGCGACGAAGGAGTTGCCGAGAAGGGAGCCCGCGACGACGAGGCAGATGAGGACGGCTGCGATAATGCCGAAGATCGGGCCGAGGAGACGGTTAATGGCAGTCTGGCTGCTGTCAGTACGGGGTCTTCGTCGTGGAGATAAATTCAGGTAAGACTTACAACTGCCACGCTGTCGGTCGCAGCCACGACATCCCAAGGGAGGAGAATATAGTACGCTGCATTGGCTGCGATGAAGCACAGAATGATGGTCGGCACGGCGGTGTTGATAGCAAGAGGGAGCTGGCGTGCCGGCTGCTGAAGCTCAGCAGAGACGTAGACGGCCTTGAAAGTGTGAGACGGTGTCTGCTTAGATGCCAATGGGGCGTGACTCACCTTATCCCAGCCAGAGTACGCCCACAGAGCACCGTAAAGCGCAGCCGAGTAGTACCCAAGCATATCCCACGTACCGACCTTGTCCCAGTCAAGCTCGCCGCCACCCGGCAGAGACGTCTTGCGGTTCCCGAACCAGGGCTTTTTAAACCAGTCCCGCCCACCGACATCACGGTCGTGGTCTGAGACTTGAAGGATGACGACGACGATGCCGGCAAGTACAACGGCAAAGATACTGGTAAACTTGGTCACTACGAACAAGTTGTTCAGACGCGTGCTGGCCTTGGTGCTGATGGAGTTGGCGCCGTTCATGACGACGAGGATCAGGATCGAGAAGAGCTTGTGCGAGAGGGCTCCGGCCTGGTCAGTCACCCCGCCGGCGGAGTAGATGCTCTCGACGAATACTATGCTGAGGATGGCGAGAGTGGCTGGCATGACGGCCACGATCCAGGTCCAGGCGGCGAGGAAGCCAAAGATGTCGCCGTAGATGTGTTGCAGGAAGGGCTGGACGCCGCCTATCTGCATCGTCAGCACTGTGGCACCATGCAGGGGCTCAATAGGAAGTCAACTTACCTTCACCTGGGATCGCGGTCCCCAGCTCGGCCATGGTACTGGCACCAGTCCACGCCAGAACACCACCAATGAGCCATACTACCAACGCGGCACCGGGCGACGGAACATTGGTGTCGATGGAACCCGGAGAGGTGAAGACGCCGCTGCCGATGACGATGCTGATGACAATGGCAAATGCCTCGACAGCGCCAAGGTTCTTCGAAAAGGTACCAGCCCCGCGCTCCTCGGCGATGAGCACCGGAGGGTCGGGCCCGTCAGTGCCGCCGTACTCATGATGAGGGTCTGCCAAGAGGGGCCGTTCCGCGGCGTCTTCGGATTGAGAGTTGGATGGCATCTTCCCGTTTTCGTATGGTTGCCAGTGGAGGACCGTTGCCAATTGGATGGGGAGGTCCGGATAGATGTCGAGAGAGGGAGGGACAGGGAGCTCGGGAGCTTGGAGCTTGGAACTTGGAGTCACTGGACGAAACAGGGGTAGCGCCGTTCGTGCCTCAGCTCATCCTTGGGCGGTACGTATCTTGAACAGTAGTGGTCCAAGCGCCGTTCAGAAACCCGGGTCCGCTTTTATCTTTGACCCGGCGGTTCTCTTTTCTCAGTCGGGATGATCCACTAAGGGACATGGTATCGATTGCAGATACGTACCGAAGGCCGCGTCTCCGCACCAAGAGGTTCTGGCCGTGGAATGTGGCAAATCCGGAGTAGAATCCGCCGGTGTATAGGCCGTCGGAGTAGAGTCCGGTAGCATTATTATCCCTTATCTGATGGCATGGATAAGGATGTCAGCGCCCATTGTGATGCGATTACTTTGCTGGATTGAAGGCCGCTCTGGTTTGCGAAGTAAAAAGCATCTCGAATCTCCGCTCACATCTCGACTTCCGTTAGGGATAACGAAGTCCGCTGTTCCGTCACGAAGACAGACCGACTTAGACTCCTTAACACGACGAGTTGACTTTCTAGTGCATCCAATATACTACGGTTTCAAGTCGTGGAACATGTCAAGTTGCTAGCTACGAATGTCGTTGAGCAAGTATGCAAGTGCTCTAGATGAAAAGTAGGCTTGATCAACGTCGTCATATGCAACATGTTGCTCCCCAAGATTTCCTAATGTGTTATCGAGGCTCTCGACTATGGAGCCCACAGCGCGGTACACATAAGGCTCCAGCTTAGCTACCGCAAGCGCGGACTGAAGGGCCATGGAGACCCCGTCCTTGAGCTGTGGCGACCGCGGCAATTGGCGACCGAGCGAGCCGAGGGCTGTAGCCATTCGAACATGCTTGTCAGACCACTCGCAGGCAGAGACTGATGCGGAGACAGCTTGAGGCTCGGTGGACGATGTCGAAGGTGCGCCCTCGCCTGATGCGAGCGATGAAGTCTGCTTGTGTCGGAAGAGAACAACGAAGTCACCGCCATACATCTGCAGCGGCGCCCACAGTAGCCCAGATATGGTGCGCACACCGGGGATCCCTACATCAGGCAGCTCGGCCGTCACGTCGGATGAAACGATGACAGATTGGCTTTTATGTGGTTGAATAGACCGCACAATGGCCAACGCCTCCCTGTAAGACTCCTCGCTCGGCTCACCGAGTCTACCAATCTCTCCGGTGGCGGACGTTAAGGCAAAGTCTGCGGCGAAGAGACGCAGTAGATCTCGTGATGCGGCATCGCTCTCGCCAGGCAATTGAATTGGTTCGCGCCTTGTTCGTGGTAGTTCAGCGCCGGCCAGCATTGAGGCGTATGACAGCCTCTCGATAGCGCAGCCGGATGTGCTGCCGATGAATTCGCAAATCTGGCGCTTCGGGATGGAAATCCGCGTTCCCTCAGGTCGGTAGGCGTAACAGACAACTAGACCCCATCGCTTCCCACACGCATTGATTGGTATGGCCATGGACGAGCGAGCACTTTTGTCCTCTGCTTTAAGTTCCTCGAAGAAGGTTGGGGAAGCCGTATTAAGATATGATTGGTCAAGGTCGACGAGGTGAGGCTTTTGAGAAGTTTCGGTCTTGTGCACAAGTCTCGAGGGTTGCGCTGTGCGATCGTATAGAAGCCTGAGCTGGCTCGGAAAAGGTTGTGAGTGTGAGTCGTCACCGGTGCGACGGGATCTAGTGAGGTGTATGCATCGATGAGATCTGTCTGATTCTCTGTCAGAAGAGTCAAGTATTGTTACGGCCAGGAGATCGTCAACCCGGTACAACACAACTCTGTCGAACTCAGTAACTTCTTTCACCGTGGCCACAATGGTGGCGGGGACGGCCGTCAAATTCGCCATGGCGGCGAAGGACGTTTGTATCCTTGACATTATTCCAATTGCCTGCATGGTGTTGAACTCCCCGCCTTCGCTTCCAATCCTTCGGGCCATCCGGGAGGTCTTTGTCGTAACGTCGCTTGTGTGACTTCCATGTTCCGTTGTCGAGGTAGAAGCGTCGTCCGGGGGCTCAAACTCGCAAACAACCATACCGGGTGCTGGAGAGTTCCCGTCCAGGTGCATGAAGCACCAAAATTGTGCGGTTTCGCCTTCCTTCGTAAGAACCGAAAGGCTGAACACAGCACGCCCAGTGGTGATCCCATCAGCTCTCTCCTCCTTGAGAAAACCTAGCCGGGTCATCAGGGTATCGATATCGTCTGGTCCAAAGATGCTCTCCAAGTCTCCCAAATCAAACAGCTCAGCCGGGGAGTGACCCGTAAACAGGACCGAGTTGTCGCTTGCGCAACTGACCACAAGACGATTTACATCGTCCTCGATAAATCCTATCAGGAAACCAAAGCCTTGGATGGTATTCGACGCGGGGGGTTCGGCGGTAGTCTCGATATTTCGGGATAGTTGGACATCGTCTTCGTTTGCGCGTACAGGCTGGGCCATAGCCGGCCCGGATGACTTGAATAAGTCGGTTCTCTAGCTTATCTGCCGCATGTGATCTTGATAGACAGCCGTGTAGATGCTCAGTCTGGATGCCGGTGACAGAGAGCAAAGGCGAAGTTTGCGCGGAGACTGCCGGCGCGTAGTATGTTGGTGTACTTGGGCTTGCATCGGTCTGGCCAGGCTCATGATACCTAATAGTACATGTACACACTGGCTGATGATGTAGATGCTTCGTGAAGGTAATCACTTGAAATTTGAAATCAGCGAACGGTTCCCAAAAAGACCGTGGCGAAATCTTGTCTCTTTCTGCCCACGGGAATATGTCGAGTCATGCGGTGCTGGTCCGTTGGAAGCTGATGTGCTTGGCGTCCTTCAGAGCGTTTTTCGTGAGGATTGAAGGCTGACAACAGTAGTAGCAGAGTGGCGGATCTAAACACACGTTGAAGCCGATGAACAAAGATTCGCCTGCAGCATGTTCATCGAAGTTGAATAGAGTCGAATCGAAAGCAAGTTCGCCGCCCGCAAGTGGCTATTTCCATTTCAAGAAGTGTACGTAGGTTGACAATCTTATTTTATTTTTATTTCTTTTTTGCGCCCTGCATCTTGCGCCTTCCAAGTTCCCGCCGTGCCGTCTTCCCCTCCCCCCCCCCCCCCCCGTTGTTATTCGCGACTGCCCGCAGTCCGTTCAGTGTGACCGGATGATTGGCGGCTTCTGACGTCACTTGCTCAAGTTTCTGGTTCTTGGACCCCGAGATGCCCGTTTCATTTTGAATTACATAATATCCGTATTCTGAGGATAGGAGAAACTGTGTCTGGTTTCGTCGAAGTGCCGTTTAATATGGAGGAATTTCGGAATGGCAATGGTAAGGCGGCATAGGCACACAGGTAGGTGGGTTCCCGTCCAGATAATACGGTGGATTATGAATACACCAGATCATTCGCACCATGGTTATCGTTGAATTATTGCAGCTCCATCAGGCATCGTATAGTTAAGGTAGGAAGAAAAGACTGCTGAAAGATTCACCCATCGCTGGCGCCCTGCGTGTACTCCAAGAACGCCTCACTGAAATGCAGAATACGGTTGGTCTTTTCGCCGCAATGACTTTTGCCTCCGCGATGAATCCTTTCACCGCCATTTACTCAGCCGCTTCGCATGCTTTTGGGGACCTAGGAGACATCATGCCTGGTTTACTCGGGCTGGCTTTGCGCAGCCGATGCGCATATAACAGTCCACAAACGTTACAGAGCGTCCATCGGCCGTCGGGTCCGTCCCTCCATTGCGGCGTGCTCGTAACCTGGCACATGTGGCAGCTGGGATCCTCGTTGACCACGCGCTTCTGTCATCGAAACCGCTTTAGTTGATGCCTTCCTTTAGAAAAAGACAAGAGAGAAAGAACAACTCACGACTTTTGAAGTGCGATCAAACGCCGCCACGTTGGAATAGCGCCTTTTCCTCGTCGTTTTTGGGCTCACGCGCAGATTTGGTTCTCGCTCTGCATCCGTGGCGCTTCGGTAGGACAAGAGCGCCAGTTCATCCAGGTTGCCGGCGATGACTTCCGATAGACTCTGCGCAGCAAGTATCCTGGAGCTGCTTGTCATCTCCTCGGGAAGGTCGCTGCCGCATTCGCAGCCGGTCTTCGAACAGGAGCCATCGACGAGGCCCTGGATATTTTGCAGCAGTTGTCTCGCATCATTGTGAATCTATTTCCTGAGTGTTAGCGCTTCACGCCCGTACGACCCGATCGATACCATCAAGGGATGAGACCAACATCGTTACTGAATCAAACTCACCCTCTGTATCATCTCAGCCGCCTTGATTTGATCAAAGGACATGGAAGGTGGCGCGTAGGCATCGGTTGTATGCGGTGCATCAGCAGCAGCATCAACATCAGCAACCACAAATGCGTTCGCACCCTCCGGCGTCTGTAACCCGAGCTTGGACCGTTTGTGGATCAGCTGGGCATCAGCTTTGACAGAAACCATGGGAGCATATCGATGAAAATTGATGGAAATCCGGGTTGTCGATGGATCGGAAATTGAGCTTTTGGGATCGCGATCCCAAATTTTCGATCACAAGAAATCGATCGGTAATTCAGCTGAATAGCATACGGTCTGGATGGCAAATTGAACGGAAACCTGATCGACGGTGCGATGCAAAAGTTGGCATGGAAAAGAGTGACAGGATCGGGGATTTAGGTGAGGGATCGGATGTGCTGAGGCACTGCGATTTTATCAAATTCGATGCGCCCAAAGGCCCGTCCTTTTGGAGGGGCGACTCGAGACGGCCAACAACAGCGAGCGAACCTACGCTATATGACGGATACCTCGTAGTTTCTGCCACTGGAACTTCGGCCCCCTTTGGTCACTGTTTGATCACTGGCAGCTTTGGGTGCTGGGGAAGGAATCCAACGTGCATCCATAACTTGTCAAGTACACAGTAGGTTGTGCCACTGTTATCGCTGCAGTTGGGCGGCGTTGCAAGGGACTGGCTTCCTTCTTTCTATCTCTGCTTCCGTTTCACGGCCAATAGGAAGTCTCTCCGCGTCTATGTTTTGGTATCTGATTGGCGGAAATCTCTCCGCCTCAGTTCAGGGTCAAATCTCTCACCTATCCGCCCATTTCCCCCATCATTTTGTGACAACAGAGTTGGACCCTCTGTGCTCCGTTGAAAAGTCTAGGCCTTTTTTGCCCATCAACGGAAACGGACCCCTAGTCTTACGGACTACGGGCCCCCCAAAAAAAAAGTCTCTAAGTTGCTCCTCACTTCGTGCCTGGTTACAATGGGCCAAAGCAAGTGGCAAAACAGTGTGTTTGTTTACTAGCGCACTCTTCTATGGTCGTGGTCGTCGAATTCTGTCGTACGCGTTCTGGAGGATTTGGTGGGTGATACATGGTGAGCACTGATCAGTGAGCACAGAGGAAGAATGGGGGGTGGAGGTCTGGGGAGGGACGGGACTCGGATGAAAGCTTTGCTCTTCTGTCCACTTTCCCATGCCCACAATCCTTTCCCATGATCTTTCGAAATTTGCCACTTGACTTGAAATCGGAAAATCCATAGAGGCATCGATGTTTGATCATATGGTATGAAGAAGTCGATATGTTGTGGTGACACAAGAAGGTCGAAGAGTCAAGGCCCTCTCGAGTACAATAGGGGCAACATTCCCACCACTATTGTCTCATGTTAGTCACCGTAGACAGCATCTCAACCACTTATCTATTCACTACTCGGAGTACCAGGTCTATCAATGGCGGTAACGGCGGCATTGGCGCATCGAGAGAATCAAATGGAAGGGTTTGGCCTCACCTATTTGGGCCTGCCTACTCCTCTGTGCCTACAACCGCGACGACTACGCCGGAATCTGTCGGAACTTCACGAACCAAGTCCCACGACACCAAGTACTCAGACAATTAGAAGACCGTTGGAAGATGTTTACTACTTTCATTTAGCAGTCATGTGCCTCTTTGGGTGCTGTGGTAAGGATAACTATGCTCTAGGGATGAAGTAACTAGAACCTCAGGCGGCAGGCCATTGTCCGACGGAAAGAAAGGCGTTCTCCAGTGGGCACATGGGCCAGTATAGGCATTCGGGCTCTCCAGAGACAACCAACATATCCTGTTCCGTCTTCAGGGACTACTCTGATACTCGAGCGATACTATCTGCGACCCCGGCTGAACCCTACACTACGAAACCATGCCACCCATGCTTCCTCGTGAAAGGAAATAATGTTGAGGATGTGATGCTCACACAAACCCCAAGAAGCTTTAGCATCGGATGTATTACAGATCACATCATACAACATGTCCATACCACTGAGAAGATAAATCAGTGCCGTACAAGTATACAGTCAGGTGGGTTGCAGACATACCAAAAGGGGGGACAAATTTACCTACGTTGGAGCAATGAGTAGGATCTCCATCTTCGTCAATGGACCTCGTAGCCAGAACTGCCAGCCCTCTCGCTCGCCCAGGGCCTCCTTCAACGCTTGCCAGCTTCACCGTAGATTTGAACATATCTTCGCACGTGAGGCTAAGCCTGCGAAAGCATATTACATCGTACTGACATGTAAAGTACTCTGCTTCAAAGCTCCGAGTTTTACTTGAATTTGTTTACTCCTGGTACGTCAGGCAAGAACACTCAAATGATTGGCAGTGTTATTGTAAAAGAGTGAACCTGTCCAAAGTCCGTATCCGAACGACTGCGTGTTTTCATCGTGTGAATCAGGACCTATACACTCACTCTGAACAAAGCCTTTGGCTATCTTAAAATGTTGGAATCGTACGGAGTATCTAGTTGTTCCTATGGGCAGCCGGTAGACAGAACGCTTAGAGCTACAGTGATATGCCCTGTGGTACTTCCTGGGTATAGTTTTGGGTCAGTGTTCAGGAGAACAGGGTCAAGGTGACCGCTGAGATGCCATCGACTTACCACCTCAGTGTCGCTCGGGAGACACGACAGAAGGTCTCTTGGCCTCCTCAGTGACAGGTGTCAAGGCAGCATTTCACGGAATACCAGTCGATCAAGCGTTGAACAGAAGATCCAAGGCAACAGTGGCACGTTGGATTTGGTAGACTGTAGGTTGGGCTTTTCTCTTAAGTGGAGTTTGAATGAGGATGGCTGATGAGATCCCCTCAAGTCTCAGCATGGGCATTCGTATTGCTTGACAGGTACGACGACCCAGAGACAGATGTGAATGGAAGGCAGAGCGGAAGAGAACAGCCCATTACACGGTGAACGGTGCACAAGACAGAGCCACGAAGGTAAACTGGAGACTGGTAGACCGTTCGTACAGAGTTTACCCCCAACGACCGGGACCGGGGGCCAATGCCCTCAGCCAGCATACCCTCAACGGACTACGCCTCGTGAGATAGTGTTGAACAGTATTCAGTTTGGTAGATGCTGCAACAGTACGGTTGCCTAATATGCAATTGTGCGAATCCTCCGTGTCTATAGAGACACAGAGGCGCAGATAAACTACCCCTCGTGGGGGAAATACAGAAATCTGCTGACATTATTAGCAACAGCCACGACAATAACAAGAACAACAAATCATGTAAGGGGAGGCGGAATCACGTTGTGTGATTTGTGCTTCACAAATGCTGGGTAAAAACAGTGCTAGCGTCAAAAACTCTCATCACATAGATAGCCTGATTGGGAACACCGTGACAGTAACTGTAAATTCCGTAATATTGTACCCTGCGCCGACGGACCCCGGTTGGAGCAAGATCTTGTGACTAAAAAGTAGGAAGGCGTGGAAAGGCACTCGTGGCACGCAGAGTACCAAACAACCAGACGCCGACGCCCAGAAGCGGCACCCAGGCTTTGTCCCAGCCTTCCAGGAAGTAGCAAAGTAACAGAGCAGACCATCCCAGACCTTCAGCCACCCCATTGACCAGACTTCCAGTTTTTTGGTCCCATAACTCCATCGATAAACGTCAAATCCTGTGAATCGAACATATGGTATCATAATCGCAAACAAGATCCAAATCCCCAATAATCGTGGCAAAAAATACGAAGATGATGAAATGATTTACCCGCAGGCTCAAGAAGAAAACGACAGTGAGGAAGACGCCGAGACTCGGTTGCTGTGCCTTAGTCCCTGCTTCCGCTGCCTCATGGCATGAATCAGACCGCAGACATTGCAGAGGGTGTGCGGCCCCGCGGGTCCGCTACGCCACTGCGGTGTAAAGGTGGTGTGGCAGTTGTGGCAGACGAAGGGATCTGACATACTCTATTTCTTCAGTGTGAGTGAATGTTCAGTGTAGCCCCCCTAATCGTAGACAGGGGCTGTAAGACGAATCGTGAAAATAAGGAAGATGGTATCTGTCGGAGAAATGAAGAATATGAATTGAAATCAGTGGTAACTTACGTCGTTTGTTTGATGGTCCATGGTATGCTCGGCCGCCCCGTGTTGCTTGCGACGGATCTTGCGCAAATGGTTGGGGCGTCTCACTCGCAGGGCCGCCTCCTTTGATTTCTGAGAGATGGCTACCAGCTCCGCCATATCTCCGGTAATGTGCTGGGAGATCTTTTGGGCGTGTAGCAGCTTTGGATTGCCGAGCAGGACGCTTGGCACATGCCGGCCACCATCATGTGTGGTGGCACTGTCAGGTACTCGGCTGTATCGAAGCAGGCTTTGGATATTGCGAAGCAGATTGTTTGCATCGCCATGAACCTGTGTGAGGCAAGAGAAGCTTTGTCAGCACAGGACGACCTGATTTTGAGAATCGTATTCTGAAGATTGAATTTTGGCAATCGCATTAGGTAGGCAGACGCACTCTCTGGATGATCTCGCTCGCTTTGAGGTGGTTCAGGGACATGGGCGCCAACGGCTCGTGGCTGCACTCATGTTCACTGAGACGGCGTCGCGAAGTCAGGGCCGGCAAGGGCGTGGCCAGATCTGCCGGGGTCCGGGCCATTGACTCTGGAAATGATGGAAGACAGGAACGGACTCGGCCGGTTTGGAAAACGGACTGGAATCCGTCGCAGCAGGGTGGCCCAATCGTCGGGAACGTAAGAGCGGGGCGGTTGCCAGTTTTGGAAATAGGAACAAAGTCAGTTGATGACGTCGATCGGTGGAGGGGGCAGAATCGTGTAGAGATCGAGAATCGTGAGAGGGATCGAAGATGAGGGGATGGGGCCTTCTTCGTTTATAAAGGAAAATCGAGCTTCGAGAAGAGGGGAAGCACGGGACCGCCTAATCCTCCGTTTTGCGCCCTGGTTTATAGTTGCCCTTGTGCCTTCCCTGTGTGTCCCTCCCACGCTGCACGGCTTTGACGAATAAACGGTGATTGACAAGCAAACTCAATAATACGGCCGTCACGGCTGAGACGGAAGCTTTTCTGGAGCTGAGATGAAGTAAGGGGATTGGACGGTGTGCGTACCTGTGCACACCGTGGCACACCGTGGCAGCTGCAAGGGCATTGTTTGATCCAAAACGGAAATTTCTGTATCCGTAAGTTGCATGTTGCCATACTGCAGACATGGGAAACGCAAACTTTTCGATCCGTCGCCCAAGAACTCGATGTGCATCTATCGCCACCTGCTGAGTATCACAGACGATGGGAATTTGTATCGCTTTTCACTTTCTGATCCGCGGTCAACTCCGATGGCGAATAACACTCTGCAAGGAGCACAGTCGACCTCGTTGTCAGATCTGAGGGCGAGGCGGTGATTCCCGTTTCGATGCAGCCCGGAGTGGCGGTTAGAGGGAGGTACTGTGGAATTGAATTGTACAGATTGTGGCCAAATTGAAGCCTTGTTCGCGTGCTCCAATATTGCAGCAGTGCCCAGGGAAACTTTGCAGTGATTGTCCAACGTGTTTGAGCCCGTCTCTTCTCCCTTTCGTGTGGTCTCCGTTGCCGTAATGCCCGAGCAAGACGGCGCTGTATGATGTGAGGCAGACCTCCTTGGTGCGATGCGTTTAGAGCAGTTGGACGACAGAACCAGCACGTGAGCTGGCTTTTAATTTCAGGAGGCAGGTACGGTAGGCAAAGCATTAGGAAAGGACCTGAGATGTCCAGTCCTTCCTCGCGGCTTTCGTGGAAGGTCCAAGATACAAACATAGCGGTAGCAATTCGGTTTACCTCCTTCCTTCCTTCCTTCCTTCCTTCTTTGCTTCCGTCGCTAACGCGTTCCTTCCCTTGTCTGAAGGTCTCCCATCTACCCCTATTTCGAATCATCGACATCGACGAACATCCTCTCAAAACTTCTTCTCCGACGCGTCCTTTCCTGAAAACGACATCGAATCAACATCATACCATACTGCCCATCGGGTTCAACATTCGATAGCCATGTCTCTCTTTGTTCTATCCCATATAGGTGGTCGCGAATCCGAACGAAGAACACTACCGACGGTGACGGCAGCACCCATTCCCGTTCACAATGGCAAATGGCGCTGTATAACCTGCAAAGAACCCACGTTCGCGCGCCACTGCGGTGACTGTCAATCCAAATGGTTTTGCAGCACTAAGTGTCAGAGGGAGAAAGCCCACAATATCGATGCTGCCAACTACATGGCCCTGTGCCCCGCGAAGCACAAACGACTAGATACCCACCACTATCTCGCCGAATCCATCAAAGCCGGTACCTGCGAGCCTCCCACGGATCCGCAAACACGAGAAGACTTCGGATTCGATCTATGCCGCTATGGAAATAAGCAAGAGGAACGCCTCCTGTGGGCGACATACAAATGCCTTGGCTGTTTCTTCGGCCTCGACAGCGTCGTTATCTAGGAGTGGATGATTGCCAGGGGCAAGTCATTACTTGCCGAGATGATCAAGAAGAACTTTTTCAACGTTCGCCTTATTACGAAGGATGTATACACCTGGTGGTTCCGTCACAATATCTGGGTCATCCTATCCGAGGACAGCAGAAAAGGATATGCCATGACGACCCATAACAACCTCGTCTGGAGTTGCGCCGTAATGTCGCGAGTCTCCTATCAGATATTGAATGGTTGGGACAGAGATGAAGGAAGTTGGTACACTGGGCATACCGTTGACTACATGGCAGCCCGCATACGGGAAGCTATTTGGCCGGTGGAGGAAGTAGAGCGAGTGATCTACGACGGTTCGAGTGACACCTTAAGTGACGACTCCTCAAGAAACTATGACCCGACTGACGCTCCCTCGAGTGACGATAGCATGGCAGCGTGACGCGGATGGCTTCAGCCTCAAGAAGCCAACCGCCTGCGCGATAGGTCTGCTGGAATCAGCCAATCCTACACCAACAGGAGTCAGGGCATGTTTACTTTGAAACAAGATGTTCAAGTAATAGCGGATGGCTACAGATGCTAGAATCCAGAAGCCTTGAACGTTTAAATAATGACATAGTTTCCAAGAGGCACTCTTCATTACGTTGGTTTTGAAACAACTCCAGGTAGCTGGTGACCAGAGGTTATCATGACAATCCTTCTACAAAGGAGGGGTTCCACTAGAAGGGCAGTCTTGGGCAACTCTTCACGGGAACTCACCAACGCAGGAATGCCCACCCAAACAGACCCATACCTCCATGTGTTCCATTCCTGGCCAGGTCTCTAGGCCTCCTGGGATGAATCTCTGTCGTGCCGCTCATAGTGCTGTGTGGCGGAGACAAACGGCCAGCTGCATATGGTGCCAGACCTCCAATCTCTCCGTTTATCGACAACAGGGGCGAGACGGAGAGAGAGACAGAGAGTCTTATCCCCCTCTCGAAAACCTGCCTATTTGCTCTCAAAGAAGGCCTTGTCTACAAACAAAGCTTCACGCGAACGAACCCCACAGGATTATTACCTCCAACACTCCCCTTCTATTATCTCAACTACTTCTTCCCCTTCCACTCCCCCATAACTCACTTTCAATCCTTGTTTCCATCTACCATCATCATCATACACATAGCCCGCATCAGAAAGCGTAATCTTCGCCCAGACTCAATTACCATTCAGTTGACAGCAACGGACCCCCATACTAATGATGGTCGGAGCCAATACCGCCAAGTCCATCGCCGAGATCCTCCTCAAGGACATCTCTGACAAGAAGATCACCACCGACGAGCAGACCATCAAGAACTTCGGCTTCGACCGCTGCATCGCTCTCAAAGGCCAGCAGAAGCTCCTCTCCGTCTACGCCCTCCTCATGACTGGCCTCGACCCGGCCATCACCCCCGCCCAGCTCCAGGAGTGGGCTGCCGAGGGCGACCCCAAGCTCGGAAAGCACATGGAGGCCGCCTTGACCCCCGTCAAGGACAACAAGCACGCCAACACCATCGCCTGGCTCGACCACAACCAGTATATCTGGAACCCCAAGGACGTCGACTCGGAGCTCGGTGCCCTTGGCGAGGAGACCATGGGCGCCATGGCTGGTGCCGCCACCGACGAGGAGTACATGGCTCGCATTTCCGCCTTTCTGGCGGGCCAGACGCGTCTCCGCCAGAAGAAGGAGCTCTTGAGGCCAAGGGCGAGTATGTCCGCACCGTTCGCGGCATGCGCTTCGCATCTATGCCTATTGTGGACCCGAATAGACCTCCCGCCGCTAGCCATATGATCTTCTGGCCTGATGGCTTCAACGGTATGCCCGTCAGCGAGGTTGCTCGTCAGTTTTGGGTTATGCCTAGGGTGGCGAGTTCTTTCTGTGTTGACTTTGAAGGGTCGTAGCGGATGTGTATCCGCATAGACCGTCCGCTACCCTCCCCGCGACTGAGCCGACCCCCGGAGCACTCAGTCGGCGTATCGCCAATTGAGATGGAAGCACTTGCCTGATCGTAGTCGCAGCTTGGATGATGCAGGACAAATAGCGCAGCCTTGCCTATTCACGATGGGCCGAAGGAAACCTGTGGCAGTTTAGTTAGTTTTTGAGAGTTGCCTCTCGACAACGATTCAACAATACCATTCAGTAATCACGCTCCTTGTTCCCCGCTATGCCTTTGCTAAAGATTGATTGTGTGACTTGAACTTCAAAGCCACCGGTGTTTGTTCCAATGAGAAGGGAAGTAACTACTCTGGTTCACAATGAAATGGCTTATGTCTTGCGTAGAACAAGGTAATTGGTCCAAAGAAAGCATCGGGCACATGAATCTAGATAGATACTCTCCATCTTACAGTCGATCAAGTAAGTACCACCATTCAACAGAAGCACGCATAACTACACATCAAACCTAACAACACCAAAGACGATTAATCAGCAGGTAGATAACATGACTTACGAGACGATTACGATCAGACCCTCGACGAGAAGGTAGTCGATAGCCCCGAAAACATGTCACCACAGCAGCCAACCTCCAAGAACCAGATCTTTCTCAACGAGAAGGAAGTCAAGCCCGCGCACAGCTTTCTCCATAGAGCGATGGTACTGACAGAACTTCCCCAGATACCCCAAGACTTGCCTGCCATGCAGACCTGGTTCTTCACCCGCTGCAAAACCTACGACCACGCCTACAACCTGCTTCGCATATACCAGACCATGCTTGTTGACCTCAATTTTACTCCACGTGAGATCGAGGGCTGGTTGGCGCAGGGCCATCTTGGTCGCAACATCGTGATGCACTTTGGGGGCAACCTAGGTAAGATCCCCGAGCACCGGATGACGTGGTTGATGGAGCATATCTGGATCTGGGGCCTGGAGCCCGATGCCGCTCTCGAGGCAGACGTGCCGGTCTTCAAGTTCAGGGACGAAGATAGAGAGTATCTGGGACAATTCGACGCTCCTGTGAAATGGGCCGGCATGCTGACTCTCGAGATCGAGTCCGCCATGGAGTGGGAGCTCGAATTCGCTCGGTTGCTTGCCCGTATGCAGGCCGCAACCGAATCGAAGGGCTTTTTGGAGACTTGGCTGCTGGGATAGGAGAAGGAGGAGCCTTTGAAGTATGAGCGGTGTGTTTCGCCGGACAACTGGAGAGAGTTGTACTCTAGCTGGGAAAGGCGGCAGAGGATTGCGGAGATGTGATATTAGTCCCCACGAATGGAGGAGATGAAGAGATGAGATGGTAGAAGCGATTTCATAGATTGATATCTGAGTTTATAGACCTGTTTGGTCAAATGAAGTCGCGTCCATTCGGCGTTTGTCTGTTGACTTACAGCAGCGTGACGCTTGGTGCACCTCGGGCAGTGGAAATGGCCTTCGGCGCAGGGCAAGCGGAGATGAAAGATATAATTCTTGTCGTGGTGTGAGCGTTGCACACCTGTACGAATGATATTGCCGATGGCTGTCTGGCGTCGAGTCGGTCGTTCTCAAAATAGTGGTCGATGGTCTAGGATGGAGGGGTATCGAGGACAGCATGTTGGACGCAGTAGGATTGTCGAATCTGCGGGTGGTTGAGGCCGACGCCGGACCCAGCGCATGCTCTGAAGCATTATCGTCGCTTTGGCCATGTCGCCTGCGGCAGGTCATTCGATTGATGATTATTGTCGAGAAGTGACGGGATTTGGACTATTACTTAACGCTGACATTGATGGGGGAGAGGTGAAAGAGGGACGCGGTTGGTGGGGGCTTATGTAAGTGAAGCTGCCAACGTCAATCGCGGGAAGGAGCCAGTGTCGACTGCCTTCTTCAGAGCCGACATCCAGGAGAAACACGGGGAAGGAAGGAGTGAAGATGAATCAGGTGCCTTCCGGTATAGTTTTAATATATGAAGAACGCGATCATCGCGGTCACGTCGTATGTTTCATTGGAAATCTTCCTCGCTCTGGGTTCATCTCTGATTAACAGCATCTCAATGTCTATAAGTGCTGTACTATTAAGACGACCGATTCTCCTTCTCCAAGCACAATCGTAAGGCAATACGTGCCGCATCCAAGCCCAGTCATCATATCTCTCTTTTCAAGTTCAATCCGCCACATCAGAGCAAGCAGTCGAAGTGTATTGTCGGGAATAACGTAGTGGCGGTGCGGGGTTCGTCCAGTTCGGTACCAAAGAGCGCTGCGGAATTCCAACGTCAGCTACGGTCTTATCTTTGGAAAGATCTTCAAACTCACATTTGTGTGTACCTCCTCACGCTAATGTCAAGCAGTTTCCCTCATAGTGTTGAGAGAATCATATTGCCGACCCTTGGACTCGCTCAAGAGTACCAATCGAAGTCGTCGCCAGGGCGCTTGTTCGCATCATAGTACTCCTTCAACTCCTTCGCAGCGCGCGCAGCCTTAGCCTCACTCGCAAAGTCCTCGGGATCCCATATATACTGGTTCTCAAGGAACCACTTGTAATCACCCTGGTAATCCTCAGGGCCCAGCAACGTCTCGAACTTGCCCTTGATCTCCTCCGCGACATTCTTCAGACCATCCTCATGGTGAAGCCACTCGTGGAGCTCCTCAGGCTTGACATCAAAGTCCTCGAGAATGGTACGGTAGACATTGTAAAGCTTGCTCTGGTCGAGGGTGATGTAGCAGCGCGAGAAGCCGTAGTCGGCCTTGACCTGCGCGTTGGTGGGGATCTCGTCGTCCTGGATGGAGGCGAGGAGGTCGTGGGCCGTGGTGCGCTTGGCGTTCTTGTTGCGCTTGGCGGGGGGTTTGTTCTTGGTGGCGTTCTTGTTCTTGCTTCCCTTGGGACGGCCGGCACCCATGAAGGGCTTCTTGCAGGCCGGCTTGGGCTTGCGGGGGGTGGAGGTCTTCTTGGGGGCGGCCTTGGGGGCGGCTGGCTTCTTCTGCTCGGGAGAGGGCTTCGAGGGCCTCGAGTCTGAGAGCTTCTTTCGGGCGGGACGATAGGGGACAGGGTCCTCGGTGGTGGACTCGGGGATTGTCTCGAGGACGGTCGCGGGGTTGATCTCCTTGGGGCTCATTACGGTCAGTCTTTGTTGATACAGCTAAGGTGAGGACAAGCGGTGATGATTTCGAAAGTTTACATGGGAAACTGTCAGGAGGATGTGAAGGGAAAAGATACAAAGAAAAACGATGGAAAGGAAAAGGATTGATGATGGGAGGAAGGATGAATGGTGAGAGGATGGACCGAGACAGGACGTCTATAAAGCAGATCCCTTTGTGGGCGGGAAAGGAAATGAAATACTTACCAGTGATGATCCGATCGGTTTGGGGATCCGGGAAGCTCACCTTCGGCTTCAGTCAGCCGGGCGGCTTCCATACACAGGCAATGTGAAGAGCAATCCAGAGTGGGCCCTCCACCCCGTAACTTCATGAATACTGCTTGCCCATATTGGTTACCAGTCGATGCGAATACGGTCTTGGAAAACTATAGAGACAATGAGAAGCAGGAGTGGACGGCAGTATATCTTACATAAATGCAGTTGGATGTTGTCTACTATATCCAACACGAGGGAGTGAGATGTCTCCTGCGACCAGAGTTTTCAAGGGAGTCGACCATTTCACTTCCTTGGTTGAAGAATCCAACAAGTAGCGCCGCCTTTCTCACGGTTAATATAAGGTAAGTTGAACGATAGAGGCCATCCAGTCTCACTCCTTCCACCCAACCTCATACCCAACCCCAGAAGCATCAAATGCCAAAAACGCAATCTTCTTAACCCACCTATCCACCCCAAACAACCACCGCCAATTCTCCTCTCTCACACTCCGCTCATGCTTCTTTGGCAAAAACCGTCTCGCCTGCTCCAGTTCAACCTCCAACGCCCACTCAATCTGAGCAATACTATACCGCTCCCAAGCCTGTGGCCACTTGCCCCGCAAAAACTCCCTATCCTCTTCAGTGAACTCGAAACAGGGCTGGTCGTAATTCGGGGTGTGGCCACACCACACGTGCTTGTTATGCTTCACCCACTTCCGCCGCTCGCGCGAAATCTTGTCCTCCACGAAGACGTTCTCAACCATGAGGTGCGTGATACGGTAGCCGAGGCACTTGTTCGCTTTCCATTTGTAGAGTTCGGTGGGGGTGACGTCTAGATCGAGGATGAGGGTGTTGTAGACGCCTAGCAGAGCTTTGGCATCCTTCAAGGTACGGCAGCGCGTAAAGTACCACTCCTTGAGGACGTGGATGTTCCTTGGGAGTTCGGTTACCGGGAAGCGGTTGTGGAGGAATTCGAGCTCGGCGAACGTGGTTGTGGTCGCGGTTGTGGTTGGGGTGAGTGTGCTGCTAGTAGTATCCATCTCGTTAGTTTGCTGCTTGCTCACTTGGTATTCTTCTTTTCTGAAAGGGGGAGTGTAGATACTGCTTTGTAGTCGTGGGTTGTGTTGAACTCTTGACGACAAGTCCTGATTATGGTGGAAAGTTCTGGCTTATCTAGTCACCTCAGACACACACATCGTGAGAAAAATTGGCATTGTTCCTGGTAACAAACGAGATCAAACTTGGGAAGCCAAGCAAAGAACTTCCAAAGTCACCGCCAACGACTTTGCTAGAAATCCTCTTCTGGTCGGAGACATGGTGTCTAGTGTCTTCAAAGGACTGACTGTGTAGAACAAACAAACTTGACCTGCGTTGTTGTCCCTTGCTGCTGGGAACGAACCTCTCATCAGTCACCGCCTCGGCACGGAAGATTACAGTGGTGAAGCTCAATAATCGCGTCTGGACGCCTCCGAGGGGCATCCTATCATCATATTCGTCTATTGCTATGCAGCTGATACGTTAGCCAGCTATACCGCCCAACAGAGTCTAGTAACTCCAGCTGGGTGTTACAGTCATGCATTTCCAGCCAGCCATGCGGGTATCTCATGTACGTTGTTCAATAATTGCACCCAAGTCTTTTTCCACCGCCATTGCGATCCGTCCCAACTCCTGCTTGCTAAGCGAGTATGATCCGCGATCCTCCTCGTTATGTCCCGTCGCTCGTTGCTCATCACACTACACCCTTATCCTCCAGTATCTTGCTCAGTTCCTTCAGTCGGACAGGCTTCGTCAGGAAAAGATCGATGCCGCTCGCAAACGCTTCTTGCTGCGCATTGGCAGATGCTAGCCCCGTGAGTGCGATGATCAGACAGCGTGATAAATTCTCCTTCGACTCAATGGCACGAATCCGTCGTGTGGCCTCAAATCCGTCCATCACAGGCATCGAAATGTCCATGAGGATGCAGTGGTACTCGCCCGCCGATTGCCAGAACGCGTCCAATGCTTCTTGACCGTCTTTTGCGTTTTGGTAATCGTGCCCCAGTCTCGTCATGTACGTTGCCAACATCTTGAGGTTGAGCGGGTTGTCGTCGACCAAAAGAAACTTGGGCCGATCCTTACACTTCTTCGGTCTGTGGGCTAGTCGCGGGGTGTCAGGACCATCGGGGGTGAGTGTTTTGGGCTGCTCTTCCGGTGTGTCCGGTAAGGCATTGTCCTCAGGTCTGAGTTCCGTATCCTCCTCTTTCACAACTTCATTGTCCATGCTGATACTGTGCAGACTTTCGGAGCCGCTCCTTGGCAACTGGTCCAAATCTGCAGGAATACCTTCTCCCGGGGCAATGTCGGGAAGTGCCTCGGTATTGCCGACCTCCGCAAGTCTGTCCAGAGCCGGCCCTGTCGGCGTGTCACCACCTGTGTTCGATGGTTCTGGGCTAGCCAAGGACAGCATTGTAGGAGTGGGTATCGCTCGTTCTTGAATTTTGGTCCATCGCTTGAAGCTAAGCAGTAGGACCTTGGCGAGCTTTCTCGGACCGATCCTGGGGGAATGGGTATCAGTTCAAGGTTGGTCAAATCATTGATGAGTGTGAGGACTTACGGCTGGGAGATGAACTCGAATACGATGCGATGGCCGGTAAATCGTGCTGAGGTAGCCAGTTGGCGCGCAATAAGGGCGTTCCGGCAAATCACCACGACAGGCGTGGTTATGATACCCAACCGGCGCTCCATCAAAAGCTGCTCCAGCTGTTTTTCCGTGGACAAGACCAAGTCGGGAAGAAGTTGTTGCGAAGATGGGACGGACTGGTCGATAATATGCATATGAAGCCACTCCCTGCAGAGGTGTGCGACCAGAGCTCCTTCGCTGGGGCTGCTACTGGCTAGGTCGTCGGGCATTTTGACGCCATAATCCTGAGGGAATCCGATCAGCTTGACTCTGAGGCCCCCGAGCTCGCTAACAGATGCCCGAAAAGCATCCATAGTGCTTTCTTGATCTTCTGCGTCGGCGACCGTTGGTGGTGCTGGATCGGCGCAAAGTAAGGGAAGCTGGACCCTCACTTTCGTTCCTTGTCCGAGCTTACTCCAGACTTGGATAGATCCACGCAGCTTGGCAACTATCTGCTTCACCAAGCTCAGTCCTAGACCGGCTCCGGCAGACAGGGAGTCCTCCTGGGCGAAGGGGGCGAATAGATGATGCTGAAGATATTCCTGGCTAATGCCGCGCCCGGAATCTACTACGTCAATCTGAACTATGGACCTCTTGGACGGCCCATCAGTGCGCTGTGGAAACTGGGTGACATTGACATTGACGAACCCCTTGTGCGTGTACTTGAGCGAATTTCCCAAGAGATTCATGATAATTCGCCTCAAAGCGCCCGGCTGCGTATGGAAAGCCCAAGAGATTGCGGGGAAAATGTCGAAGGTGACGGAAACATCGCCGAGTATGAGTTGCAGGTCCCCTAATTTGTTTGTTCGCGTCGCCATTTCTTCCATTGCTTGCATACTGTCTAGCCTGCGTATGGCACTAGTATCGGCGTGCTCTGCTGGTCTGTTGCCCGCAAGTTGTGCCACAGACACTCGTTGGTAGCTGAAGCCGGCGCAGACGCTTTCCACAACTTCTTCAGACAGAACATCGACTTCGACATTTGATGTAATACTCATCATGCCAGCTTCGATGCTGATTTTTTGACCCCGAGCTCTCAGGCCTCGCTCGCCAAGCGCAAGAGAATTCCGTCGCTGCTTCGAAGGCCCGATGAAGTTATTAATCTTGCTCCAATCCAGAAGGTGGTCTATGGTTTCCAAGAGAGTGCGGCCACAGTTCTCGATTGAGACCAGTGTGTCTCCTTGGAAGGCGTCCATAGTAGTGTCGTGCATCAACTCTGCGCCAAGAATTATGCCGTGGAGTGGCGAGCGTAGCTCATGGGAAAGCGAGCTCAACAAGTCCGTCTTTGCCTTGTCGACTAGCATCGAACTGACGTGGTCGACCTCTGACATGACAACTGATGCGAAAGCGCGTAAATAGCTGAGCTCGCCTTCGATGGTAAGGACTCGGGTCGGAGTCTTGGTGCAGGCGAATCCGCCTGCATACCAGCGTTGCTTTTGTACGTCCCACAAAGGTATAATGGCCATGCTTCGAGTTCCGGAAAACATACCGCTAAGCGTTTTCCCTTCGTTTCGTCTGGAGTAGGCATTGCTTCGTTTCCTGCTGGAGCTAGTTCGGTGCTGTTCCTTCTGGGTTGTCCCCATGATGTACTCTCGGAACTCCTGAAGTGGTGTCTCTGACTGGGCGCCATGGTCGTCGCCGGAATGGTCGCTAGATTGAATAGAGCCGTTCTCGTCAAAGTTGAAAATCTTGCCTTCTGGATATCTTCGTAACAGTTTCGAAAGAAACCTTTCGGAAACGGAGTTGTGGCTCAAGGAAGGTAGATCTCCGTCCACGCTAGAGATAGACGAGCTCGAAAAGCCAAGGACTGAGCAGAGGTTTTCATCCTGGTCGCCATCGCTGCTCAACCTACTCCCTTCGTCTAAGCCTGGACCAGTCTGCTCGTCGCTAGAGGAGGAAGATGAGCCGCGGCCTCTGGAAGTTCTCATATGAGAGGTTTTGAGGCGAGTGAGTCCTCCGAAGGACCCGATGCTGGCATCCACGAATAGCACGCTCTCGACTTCTATAGCTTCCCGGACAATATTGGCTGCCTTGGAGAAAATGCGTCGAATTTGTGCTGTGTGTGTGTCGACCTCTTCGTGTGAAGCGCCATCTGATCCGGATCGAAGACTCTCCAGAGAGGTACCAGACACAGACGGTAATGTTGAGTCCTGATGCGGCTGAGGAAAAGGCCGAGTGTCTGTCGTCGATGAAACTGGCTGAGCCTCCACGGCTTGAGCTTTGGGCTGTGTCGCGTTCTGTATCGCAGCAGTAGAGGATTGATTTTGCATTGTCAAAAAAGCTTGGTAAGCCACCATCTCTTTGTGCTGTTCGATCTTTTGCTGGTTCTTGTTCAGAGCTCCCTCGAAAGATGGGTGGTCGTCGAACGAGTCAATATTATTCCTTTGTCGCCATCCTGACATAGTGCTCTTGCCCTCGATGAAGCTCCCAACACCACGGACCATTCTGTCGGCACGTCGGTGATCGTCCCTATTCCGTCTGGCGTCCAAATAATTCAGGATCACTTTCGAAATATCCTGCATGAGTTGATTGGACACATCGTCAAACTTCTCGCGCGGGGTGTCTCCGTACACACTGAAGACGCCTATGTGGATACCGCTTTGGGAACGAATCGGCACTCCGGCATAAAATCGACATTGCGGCGTGTTGAGACAGAATGCTCGCTGCGAGGTCCTTGGATCTGCGGAAAGATCCGGAATAACTGTGACAGGTAGCTGATGGGGTCCCGAAGGGTGTTGCTCGTCAAGGTCCGAGACTGAGAGGATGAGCTCGCAGATACCGGATGATCGTGGAATGGCAGTACCGCACAATAGCAACTGGTCGATATCGCCGCGTTGGGATTCGGGAGGCTTGGTGTTGGGAGTCAGGGCCAGTGACTGCGTAGCTTCAGCAATGACGTACTGATACTTACTGTCGAAGAGGGATATCATGGCCCGGGTCGCATTCAGGCGTAGAGCGCCGAACTCAGCGAAAGACGTGAGTGCCGCATCGGGACATGATCGAAGTTCCGAGGATGGCTTAAGATTGTTGGGGTCGTTGTAGATTGTATGTGCGATCAAGGAAGAGTCATATCTATAGAGTCGGTTAGGGATTTTCAGACTAAGATAAGCGTAGACTACGTTGACGAGAAGTCTCCGAGGCCTTGAAGAGGCATTTTGGGGCGCGGACCTGAATGTCTCTCTCTCGCGACGACCCTCGGAAACGGCCTTGGCCGGCGGAGTGTTGACCATGGCCGGCAGCGTGAAACTCTCTCACGAGAGAGGCCGGCCGCTCGTTGGCCGAATATGCTCGGATGCGCAATAGTCGTCGAGAGACAAGCCTTTGTGACCGCGAGCGAGAAATCGACCTACGTTGTTGACGTCAACTTGAGTCAAGTCTTGCGACCAAAAAGGTTTCTACGAAATCAATCATGTCGGAAAGTTTCACGCCCGAGACAGACTTCTCAGTGGTTGTCGGAAAAGGCAGGGGGAGCAAAAGCATCTACACCAACCGCACGCAAGTGCAAGTGGGGGCGGGAATGAGGTTGAAAATACACACAGTGCCCCTACCTCCCTCTCCCGATGAACTGCCCGAGGGCCCTCGTGAGTGTGTGTGGCCTTGCATCACCTCGCATATCGTGAGATGCTCGAGGCATGCGGCTGGAGGGAGGTAATAGGTACAGATGTGTA